AGGGTTGAGCTAGACAACTTCCCACTGTCTCCAAATTTATCTTTCTTTTCAGTTGCAGTCTTACTTTCTCAACAAAACCAACCCTCTTTCTGAGACGTTTATTGATTTTGAAAATACATTCAATGTTCTCTGCAGAAGCCCCTTCATCCAATCCATCTTTAGATCCTACGGTTTCCAAGAATTTTATGAGACAGTGCTTTTTTGTGACATTAGTGCTGGATTGCAATTAGAGGTTTCTAGTCAGCCGCGAATTTTGCACATCGTCTTACTGTCGTTTCAGTTGGTCTTAGCAGATAGCAGTAGCACTTAGACTTATATACTGCTTCACAGTGCTTTTACAGCCCTCTCTAAGCAGTTTACAGAGTCAGCCTATGGCCCCCAACAAACTGGATCCTCATTTTACCCACCTCGGAAGGATGGAAGGCTGAGTCAACCTTGAGCCTGGTGGGACTTGAACTGCCAAATTGCAGGCAGCCGCCAGTCAGCAGAAGTAGCCTGTAGTACTGCACTCTAACCACTGCACCACTGAGGCTCAGATGATTTGAACTCAGGCCTAGGGTAAAGTGTGTATCAGCGCCTCACAGCACAATATACTTTGCAAGCAAGAGTTCAATAAGGGGCTTTAATGCAAGCATTAGGTGCAGAGTAGAGAAATGTGGAATTGCAGCAGAAAAACTTCCACCCCTTGTTTATTATTGAGTTTGTTTGATAGAATTCCTTCAAAGGCTGAATCTTTTCCTCTCAGACTTTCGGCAGCCAATTGAATTCCCATTTATGAGATAAACTGCTAACAAACTGCGGTCTATTCATTGTTCAGCATTTCTCCTCGTACCTTCTCAGCCTCCCCACAGTCACTCACATCATGCAAAGTCCAGGCAATTGTGGCTTGTTTTCCAAACAATGGAAACAAGTCATACTTTTATGTTTCATTCTTGACAATAATCTGCTACGTGTGCGGCATCTTTAGGCTTCAGCAAATGATCAAGCACCTGGTCAACCTTGTATACGCTTAGATTGTATAGGGGTGTCAAACTGGATGCCTCATGTGCAGGCCACACCCACTCCAGCTCCACGAATGGGGAAAACGTCACAAAACGTCACGTGATGGCCATGTGACATGGCGAGTTTGACACCCGTGGGCTTAGCAGTTAAGCGGGATTGGGCTTGGTTAATAACTCGGTGACAGCCCAACTTTTTCTTGGGAATTCCAAAGTCTCAGGAAATCCTTTTTTTTTTTTTTTTGAAAAACCCTTCAAACGGTTGAAAAAAGGCAATAGCAAATAACAGTCATATAGTTGCCAAAAAAAGTATGAGGATGCATCTGTGAAGTCAGCAGGAATTCAGCTGAAGTCAAAGGAGGCTTTACTAACGCTGTCTTCAGGACCAACAAAAATATTTTTAGGCTTTATCAAGGGCTCTCACACTGTGAGTCAGGATTTCTCTATAGATCCCGGGTGACTAACATGAGATCATGATTTTTTTTTAAAAAAAAAAATCTGATTAACCTCGCGATGGTAGAGTGGGAACCCTAGCAAAATTTGCAATGTTGCAGCATTCACAACTTCTGGAGGCAAGTTGTTCCACTGATTCATTGTTCTAGCTGTCAGGAAATTTCTCCTTAGCTCTAGGTTGCTTAGTTTCCACCCATTGCTTCTCGTCGTGCCTTCTAGAGCTTTGAAAAATAGGGTGACTCCCACTTTGACCCTCTGGTCACCATCTGAATGGATTACTTGTAATGTGCTTTATATGGGGCTGCCCTTGAAGAGCATCCAGAAGCTGCATCTTGTGCAGAATGTAGCAGGACAGGCACTTATTTATTTATTTAGAAAATATTTATAGTTGTCTATTTGCTCACAGTGACTCTTGCTGGCTTACAAGCAATAAAACATAGTATTGGGGTGGGGGGGACAACAATAGCCCTTTCAATCCCCGGCGACAACACAGTCAAATAAGCCATTTGATGGGCTCCATCCCACTCTTGGTTCCCTGGGCCTGCTGGCAAAACCAAATCTTCAGGGCCTTACAAAAGAGTGTCAAAATAGGGGCCAGCCTAGTGAAGGGATGATATTCCAAAAGGAGGTGGCCACCATGGAGAAGGCCCTTCTTCTAGGTCCTGCCAGATGTACCTACTTAGAGGATGGGATCCGTGACATTCCTTGCCTCCCCTCTTGTGGGTCAGGTGAATGTGACTGGCAAAAGACGGTCCCTCAGATAACCTGGTGCCAAACCATGAAGGGCTTTAAAAGTGACAGCCAGCACCTTGAATTGCACATGGAAGCAAATTGGCAACCAATGCAGCTCCCACAAAAGAGGTGCCACATGTGCACACTGAGGTCTGCACAAAACCATGCAGGCCACTGCATTTTGAACCAACTGGAGCTTCCAGAGGCTTTATGTGGGCTCCAAGACCAGCCCATGTGATACCTCTGCTCCATGAGCTGCGTTGGTCGTCAGTTTGTTTCCGAGTTCAATTCAGAGTGTTGGTAATGACCCATAAAGTCCTCAATGGCATCGGATCTGTCTTTGGAACATCATTCCTCCCGAGTTTAAATTAGCCCTGGCTCTAATATTGATTATTAACAGATAACAGATAATCAGAGTTGGAAGGGACCTTGTAGGTCATCTAGCCCAAGCGGGAGACCCTACACCATTTCTGACAAATGGCGGTCCAATCTCTTCTTGAAAATCTCAAGTGATGGCATTCCCACAACTTCCAAGGTTCCATTGGTTCCATTGGTTGATTGAAGATCTACTAATCTTCCAGAAATCTTGGTTTCGTCAGCAGGCCTGGCGATCCAGCAGAAGTAGGAAACCTGCAAAATGGTTCCGCTGTTTCCAATGTGTGGATTGTACTTTCCTGAAGATTAGTTTCATTGTTTTTTCATTGTTTTATTTGTTTTGGATGTTTATTTGTATTCATTTATTGTTTTTTGTTATTTTGATTCTGTGCCCCCGCCCCACCCCAGAGTCATGTATGAGATACACAGCTATATAAATTGAATAAGTAAATAGATTAAACTTTAATTATTAAGGTGAGGGAAGCTGTATTTTTTGTTCAATCCTAACTCTAACTCTCTAACCCTAACAGAGGGTGGTGGCACAGTGGTTAGAGTGCAGTACTGCAGGCTACTTCTGCTGACTGCCGGCTGCCTGAAATTTGACAGATCGAATCTCACCAGGCTCAAGGTTGACTCAGCCTTCCGAGGTCGGTAAAATGAGGATCCAGATTGCTGGGGGCAATATGCTGATTCTGTAAATGGCTAAGAGAGGGCTGTAAAGCGCCGTGAAGCAGTATATAAGTGCTGTTGCTATTGCTAAGTCCAATGAAATAATTAATTGAGGGGGAAAGTGTCACACAAATTCATGCATTATTTTTGGGGATCACAATACCCCAAAGTTTGAGAAAGTATATGGGGCTGTATGTTAACTGTAAAAGGTGACATGGCAGGATGAACTTGAAATCACCAAGTCTGCATTTAGATGGGATTAAGGAAGGAGAGATACTTGTAGCATATTTTTTGGCATTTTCAAACAAACACATGCATTACAAGGTAAACATCATGACTTTTATACCTGAAGGTTTATCTTGAGACAGATTACTGAAAAGGGGTGGGGGCGGTGAAGAAAGAATTGTAAACAGTGAATTAAGAAGGAAATACCTGATAACAGTTATTATCTGGCAGCAGGTGTTTTATGGCAGGATTGCCAGTAGTTAATAAGATAGTTATCACCGTTGCCCTTTCATTCTTGTTTGATTTGCCTGTTTGTGTTGCTTTTTCCAACTATATGATTCAGCATATCTCGTTGTGCATCATTTGGCGACAGTACCTCCCAAATCCCTTTTCAAAGATCCGACAGTCTTTTTCAAGAACATGGAAAATTTCGGTTTCCCTCCATTCTGAAGCAGGAAACACATTAAAATATAGCATAAAACTACAGTAGCACATCGTCTCTCTGGACTGCAATTAAATTGGGCTCTGTAAGGGGGTTGTGGTGCATTGATAAGGCGGTTGACTGGTTGGCATAGATGTTCACTGGTTCAGTCATGCTTGCTCAGGCCCAACTGCTTCATTGGGTGGTTGTGGAGGAAGGAGAGTACATTATATGTTGAGCTTGTGCATGAAAATTAAGATTAATAAGAAAGTGAATAAATAAATAGCAATAGCACTTAGACTTATATACCACTTCCAGTGCTTTATAGCCCTTTATAGGGTTTGCAGAATCAGAATATTGCCCCAGAAATCTGGGTCCTCAATTTACCCACCTCGGACAGGTGGAAGGCTGAGTCAACCTGGAGCTGGTCAGGATTGAACTGCTGGCAGTCAGCAGAATTAGTCTGCAATACTGCATTCTAACCACTGTGCTCTTATGTGTGTATGGCAGACTGCGGCACTTAATTCTCCTTGGACAACAACATGATTACGACTTGAAGACTGTCAGCAATCCCACTAGATTGTCAAGTTGAACAAAACAATGGCATATTGTTTCTGTATGCTACCGAGAAAGCTGATGTGTTTTCCTGAATTTGACTCAGAAGAATCTTTCCTTTTTTACTGTTACTATTACACCTAGGAAAACCTCTGTGATCGTTGGAATCAAGAAAGACAAAATCCAGCTTTTAAGATGGCTGTTTGGAGCCAAGGGAGGATTAGTTGATCTGAAGTGCCTCAGTGACTTCTTAAATTAATATTTAAGGATGAACTCATTTCTTGGCCTTCCTCCAAAAAGCTCAGGCAATCATACACAGGTATAAACAGGCACACCTTTTTACCGTCATAGCTCTCTTGTGAAGTGGAGGTTGAAAGCGAAAGCCAGCACAGTAATTAGCTCGAGGTCTCCCAGTCATAAGCTTTGTAGCTGATTGAGATCTCTCAGCTGATGTCCCAGATCCAAACTCCTATGCACCTCTGGTCTTCAGGTCAAAAAAAAAAAATGTTTTTCAGGCATGCAGTATTGCTTCTGTTTTTTGAACGGGTCTTTTGCTTTACCTTCCCATCCAGGTTGCAAACTCATCTTCCCCCCTTGGGACGGTGGGATCCGCTACAGAGGCCTGACCCGTGAACAAGTGAAGACTGCCCACTTCCTTCCTTTCGACTATGAGATTGAGTACGTCTGCCGTCCAGAGAGGGAAATTGTGGGGCCCAAAGTACGAAAATGCCTCCCTAATGGAACCTGGACGGATAGTGACATTGAAAGCCGCTGCTGTGAGTTCTACCTGGTGTCTGAGAGAAGAGCTTTCTGTTGTGGCGCTCAACACGGGTGGGTGTGGGTGTGAAACAGTGGTGGGATTCGCAGCTTTTCAAACACCAGCTGAGGCTCTGCCGTCCCAATCAGCTGAAAGGATAAAGAGAAAAGCACAGAGATGGGTCGCAGTGGTGGAATTCAAATCTTTTATTACCGGTTCTGTGGGCGTGGCTTGGTGGGCGTGGCAGGGGAAGGAGACTGTAAAATCTCCAGTCAGAGGTGGGATTTGCCGGTTCTCTGAACTACTCAAAATTTCCGCTACCGGTTCTCCAGAACTGGTCAGAACCTGCTGAATACCACCTCTGGGCAGGTGGGAGGGATGATCCTGAGCTTTTCTCTTCTTTCTCCTCTCAGCTGATCATCGGAGCTTTTTTAGCAGTTCAGCTGAACCGGGCCAAAACGGTAGCATTTCACTACTGGTGTGAAACTTTCTGGTGGTTATGGAAACTATCCTTGTTTGGGCTAAAAGCACCAATGTCAACTCAAAAGATACTCCTTTGGTCTTTTTAGCTGCCAGAAAAAGGAAGTGGGGGAAAACAAGGCATTCCTTAAGTGCCTTGATAATCACCCCGGCAGCCCCAAGTTGTCGGAGCATAAGAAGGTTATTGGAGAGCATGATGGATGACTCTTGGAGATGGATGTGTCCCATTGGAGAAGTCACATCCAGAGGGTGGGGGGAAGATCAGGGTCAAGAGGGAAATGTATGATGTATGCCTTGGAGAACAATGGGAGGCAAAAAATGGTTCATTTTCAGTGCAGTCCAGAGCTTCTAGGTGAATGACATCTGCCACATTGGACAGATTTCTATTTATTTCGTTTAGCTAATTTCCTGGTCTCCCAATATCTTGTGCAGCTAACTTCATCCTGCTAGACAAGGTGAGCTTTTTAAAAATAAAAAATAAAAAAATCAACCTTGCAGCTTTATTCTTACTTTTTCAGTTTCCCCTTATTTCATCATGAGAGCATTCATGCAGTAAGAGCATCATCCATGAGGAAGTTCTCTAACAAGGCGAATGTGATGGAGAAAGCTTGGCCCATTGGGTTTTTGCAGAGATCCTTGCTCTGAGGGATGGCTGGGGAGGTAAATGAAAGGAAGTGGTCAGTAGGTCAAACAAATTCTGAGTTTAGCATTAAGAGCACAGATCTGGCATCAGCACCCCACACTGAAATTGTCTTCAGGTGGCAGGCAGCTATAAACGGCCACTTAAAATTTCTTAGGAATCTCCAGAATACCCACATAAGGGTGGGGAATTTACAGTGCTAATTTAAGTGTGCTTGTAGCTTGTGCCCATTAAGTTTGGACTCATCAAGAAGGGTGACAGTGCACACAGGAATTTTGCAGAAGATGCTTTCAGCTTCGAAAGCATGTGTGGTCTAGTATAAATTCAGAGTTCCCCAACCTTGGCAACTTTAAGATGTGTGGACTTCAACTTCCTGAATTCCCCAGTCACCAGTTCCTTAAGCTCCATCTTAAGGTGGGTCTATGGTAATTTGCCACAGTCAACCTGCCACGGCCAACTCACCATAGGACAGCTTGCTGCAGGACAAGAATTACACTAATAACAAAGAAATAGTGGAAGAGAATCATCAAAGAAAGGATGCAAAGGGAGAGACAGGGTGACATGTGAATGGCAAAAAGTAAAATATTTTTTTTATTTACTTTAAATCAAACTTGACAGCTTTAAGACTTGTGGACTTCAATTCCCAGAATTCCTCCTCCAGTCATGTTAGCTCAGGAATTCTGGGAGCTGAAGTCCAAAAGTCTTAAACTTGCCAAGTTTGAAGACCCTTGCTTTAAATAATTAAACAGAATTGCTAAATCGTCTCGCAGCATGCTGCCCCACGGTGAGTTGGCTGTGGTGAGTTGGCCATGGCGATTTGGCCACAGAGAGTTGGCTGTGGCAAGTTGTCCCATTCTGTCTTAAGGTTGCCCCAGTTGGGAAACCCTGACAATGGAACAAACGCTACTGAATAGTCAAATTCCTGTCTGAAAGATGTCCAAGTAGTCACAGACTTGTTCAGCATGAAGACCTAGTTGGTTCATGAAGCAATGCCAATCTATGTACAATAATTATTGGGGGATATTTCTGCAATGAATCCTTCTTTTTCTACAGTACGCACTTGTCCCAAGATGCACCTGAACCTGGAGAATGGGCAAGTCACTGTCCGGGCAATTGAACGGGTGCCTGTTGAAGGCACATGGGTGGAGTATCGCTGCAACCCCGGCTTTTACCTAGTGGGCAGTCCCCGGAGCAACTGCACCAAGGTGGGCCGCTGGAGCTCCGCCAAACCTGTCTGCGAGTGTAAGTCATAAGGCAGGAGAGCAGAGCTGGGGAACCTTAGACACAGGGAAGATTGACTTGGAGCAGAAGGTTTGGGGTGGGGGAATAGTATTTATGATCATTAACTTCAGAAATTCTGGAAGAAAACAATATATATTTGTGATAGACGGACTAAGATCAGTGTTCCTCCCCCCAAAAAACTTGTCATCTGTGGACTTCATCTTTAATACATCTTGACACATTTCAAGGCTGCCAAGTTTGAAAAACACGGATTTAAACTGAGTTTGCAATAGTCATATTTAGTGGGGCTTCTTTGTGCACTTTTCTTTGCATTGGAATATTATTCTTAGAACTTCATGTTAGCCGGTTAGTAGTCTCCTGGAAAACTGAGTGAGAGCACTCCAGCACCCCAAATAGTGATACCATTGACGGCAAAAATCAGTCAGAATAAAATAAGTTCACAGCAGACCTTAGAATGGCCTTCTTATTTATTTAAACTGTTTCCAAATACTGCCTTTCTTGGAGCATGAATTCAGAGTGACTTACCTAAGAGTGCATCATGCAACAGATGAAAAATATGCAATTCAAAATTACAGTTGAATCTATTAGCATCAAAGAAAGCATCAGCTGGGGAGGAAAAATAATCTCTAAAATAATACAGCCAAGAAAGCAATCAATTAAAAGCCTTCTGTATCAATTGGGCCTCTCCCAATTGATCTAAAAGAAGGAAGATAGATCAGGGAACCTTATTTTAAGCTTGTGGACTTCACACTGCTAACTGGACAGGATACACTGCATACCCTTAGTAAGTGGGTCAGTGGGGTTTTGCAAAGTGGTTTACCACCAGTTCGGTGGGCGTGGCTTGGTGGGCATGCTTTACATGCGTGCACACGCCAAACACACACTTTACACAGGCACCGCAGAGGCATTCCACTGGCCTCCTGCAATCCTGCACTCTTCCTGTAGCTTCCACAGCTGGCACGCGACAATCTACTGTGCTGCGCAAAGCAGTGGCAAAAGCAAGGAATAAAGGTCAGTATTGGAGCCCAGGCAGGTGGGTGGGCCCAACAGCAACTCATCAGAGAGAACCGGTTCAATCTCCGCTGATCTTTAGTGCTACCGGTACACCAAAACCGGGCCGAACCGGTAGAATAGCACCACTGAAGTGGGTGTAGTCAAGGAGCAGAACTGCCCCTTATTTCTCATCTCTGCATGCCTTCAAATTCACGGATTGCCATACAGTCCAGTATAGCATACATACACCTACATACATGCATTCCTTTATATTTTGCTTTAAGCCATGGATGTCAAACTCGATTGTGTCACGTCACATATTGCAACCTATCGTGACGTTTTCTGTCTTTGTGAAGCTGGGGTGGGCATGGCCCGCATGTGACACATCTGGCCTACAGGCCTCCCGTTTGACACCCTTGCTTTAAACTCTCACTCTCAGGTTCACACATGCAAACTCATATGCCCTCACCTCTGGGCTTTAATGGAAGGCTTTTTTTCAAGGCTAATCATACTGAGGATGATAAACAATGAAATGCATTTATCTGCCTCTCCCCATAAAATATATCAAAGTGCTTTACAATCAGGTTTTTAAAAAGTAATGAAACATTTATAACAGTCAATCGAAAAAACATATATATTAATATGGAAGAGAGAGAGAAAAAATACATTTAAAAATTTGCCTCAGTTACCACAGAATAACTATATAGTGCCGTGATGGCAAACCTATGGCATGCATGCTACAGGTGGCATGCAGAGCCATTTGTGCTAGCACACGAGCCGCAGGCAAACTTACCTCACTGCGCATGTACGCGCTTCACAGCTGATTTTCGGCCTCCCTGAGGCTTGAGGAAAGCCTTTGCAGGCCGAAAAATAGGCCCGTTTTGCCACTTCCTGTATTTCCGGAAATACTGGAAGTGATGAAAAAGGCCTCAAACGGGTTGAAAATCAGCTGGGAGGTGCAGTGCAGGTAAGGGGGTGGTGGGGGGATTGCACGCACATGTACAAGGAGCAGGGGGGCATGCGCATTGCCTTCTGGGTGCTGGCATGCAAGTGCGCACACATAAGCATGAGCACAATTTTTGGCACAGGAGCCCAAATAGGTTAGTCACCACTGATATAGAGTTCCTAATAGAGGGAAGGCCAAGTTTAGTCATCCCAACCCATCCAGATTCAAAACCAGATTGAAACATACCTATCCAGGAAAACCAACAGGATTATCAGATCTGGGTTGTAAAAATCCAGGTGACCATTAGATGACAGCAAACTGATAAAAGTTTCCTGTGTATCTATCTATACATTGGCTATATAGAAAGTTCTTGACTTATGGCCATTTTTTTTAATGATCGTTCAAAGTTACACTGATATTGAAATACGTTTTAGGGTTCCTCAATGTTATTAAGCAGCTTCATTGGTGGAATTGGTGAAATAATGAGCTTTCTACCACCACCAGCCACTTACAAATCATTTAATTCAGCACATGAAAGAGTATATATCCTTGTGATATATTGTACTTGCATACTCTTTGGGAAGGGGTGAAAATACTTTCCCAGATCCTTCGTGGGTCTCATCTGTTTTTTTTCTCTCGTTTCTGTGCAGTGTGGCGTCCTGTTTCCCGGCCTGGATCAGGTGAGGTGATTTCTATTTTGCCTACCATCCTTGTTCTCACATGTCTACAAAGCTCACTTTCATCCCTTGGTTTCATGAATATGTTTTGGGTAGTTCTTGGAGGTCTGCAACCCTGGTAGCCTGTTCCAGCTGATGTTAACGGGTGACAAGGCTTTGTTCTCTCTGAGATCCTGATCACAATTATTAAGCTTATTCTTTGAAAACTGCACCATTAACATCTAAGAGGGGTGTGTCAGCATCGCACAGAAAACATACATGTTTAAATTCTTCACTAATCCCAGGCTAATCGGATCTCCAAGCAATTGTCACTTAGCTTAGAGCTTTTGTGAGACCAGGTTAAAGTAGCAGGTTAGTAGAGTGTCAAGAGATACTTGGCAAATATGGATGATAAGTAGGCAGGTCAACATGGGCTTTGGAAGAAATTGGCAATAGCAGCGATTGATGTTCTTACCACACTATGCTTTTTTTTTTAAAGAACCCTTTTCTGTCAAATTAGCACATTTCTTCACACAATGTACTTCTGTCTTGTACTTCAATTTGTTCACCCTCATTCATGCCAAAACCAAAACTCAACAGCCTTCTTTGAATTAGTGGGTAGAAAACAGGTTGAGTTGACAATAACATTAACACCCTCAAACAACAACATCTGCCTATTGCAGGTCCTTGGGAAGGACTTGATAGATGGATAAAAATGCTGAATCTAGTCTAAAGGTCAGGCTGACCTTTGATCACAGGCTGTGTGATCAACGACAATAATAATCATTAAACTTGTACGCCTGATTCTGAACAATTCCGGGCAGCTTACAACAATCAAACAAAGAAGTTACAATCAAATCAATCAAATATAAAGATAAAGGATGCCACGTGCAATGAGGCTAGAGGTCTCCATCCTCCTCATCAAAGGCCTGGGTAAAGAGTCAAAGGTAATCCCCCATACCTTTGGATCACTTCCCGAAGTGGTTTCTCCTGAATGTGCATTTTTTTGTTAAGTCCATTTTATTACAGGGAATAAAATGAAATCTTTTGAAACCTATATGGCACAACAAGAATCCCATAGGCCTAATTAAACCATGAGAACCAAATTCTCTGTAAAGACTCCAACTAGGCAATTCCGAGACTCCAACTAGACAATTCAAAGAGGCCAGGATCCTCCATTTTATCGACGCTGCCCTTCAGGCATTTAGAAGACTTTCAACTTCTTTTGCATTCCTACAGCAACGCTGTAAGAGGCAACAGGCTGTAAAGGAATGACCTGTTTTCCTTTGGGTTGTTTTTAGCATTCAGAAGAAGAAATACAGATACTCTTTCTTGTGCCTTTAATGCATCTCCGCTCTCGCTTTATGGGCTTTGTCCATTTTGCTGAAAAGGGGGCACATCTGCCCAGAATTCTTGATGATGGTGTCTTTCTGCTGCAACCTTGTGGTCAGACCCTCTGAAGGGATTTTTCTGCCTGCGCGTTTTGTCTCTCGGTCAAGTTTGTTGCTGGGAGGCCATTTCGTTCTCTCTTTCTCTCTTTTCCCATCCAGATCTTGTTTTTTAAAGCTGCCAAAAGGAGATCCCCTTTAAACCCAGGTTGAAATACTTCAGCTTGGTTCTCTGATGGGTAATGCTTGGAGGCTTCCCCTCAGTTGCCAGGAGATGTCTTGGGTGACTACTTGTTCTTCTTCTTAATGTGAGTCATGAGCTGGGAGGCATCGGGGACACTGGAGTATGGGATGCTGTTTTCGCCACTTTTGTCTCATTCCCTTGGAAGAGGTTTCTCAAAGTCTCGGACCGAATCGGGCCTTTTCAGTCTTTCCTGCGGTGGAAGATATCAGAAGCTGAACATGGAACCTTCTATTTTTAAAGCTTGCTTTCTCAGCTCTGCAGCTTTGGCGATATTGGTTGGGGATTATGAGAATTGAGGTTCAGCATTGGTGGTGGGCATCAGGGTGGAAAATTAGTATTTAGCTCTCTGTGGTGAAAAAAAAGAAAAAAAAATTGCTGGGAGCCATACAGCCCTGAATATGGCTTGAATAAAAAGGAGTGCAGAGTTGCATTTTCTAGGAAGACAAAAGTTCTGGAATGTAAGGGTCGGCTTTTCCCCACCCCACTCTCTATTGGCATCTAAGGGGGCATTGCTGTGAACTCTTATTCCAGATCAGAAGATTCCTGTGTGTAGGGGAGAACCGTCTTCACTAACAAGGCTGCAGTTCTCACTCCTTCTGAGCCCTCCTTGAACGAAAAATCTTTTAATGGGCAAAAGCGTTGCTCTGTCTCCAGGCTGCAAGCCTTTCCTTCCGCCAGTTATGTTTTATGCACAAATTAGGAGCTACATCTTTATTCATATTTTATAGTGTCTTGCCTTGATCTTTGGGACATAGAATTTCAATTGCTGGTCCTGCGTGTAAAGGGCTCCTCCTGCTTCATCTGTCCTTTCTTTCATCCATCTCTCCTTGAAAGAATTTTTTCCCCATGTTTTATTTATTTATCTACCTGATTTAGAAGTCATGAACCCTCGTCTAAAAGGACACAGAATGGGGCATATCATTCAGGTTTGCATTTTGATAGTAGATTTGAGGTATTAGAGGTGCTTTGTGTAAAGGAAGCCACATACTTTATCCTCGTGTTATTAACACTTAAGCTGAGATGTAGGTTCATCTGAGGCCAGCTGAATAAGTGAAGCAAAAATATAATTAGGGACTTCTCTCCTGATAGCTTAAAAACATACGAGGCAAAAATTGGTGCAGGCAAACTCTTATAAGAGAGTCACATATCAGTAGTTAAGTAATAGTGTAGTGGGCCCCAAATTAAACAGATTTTTTTCCCTGCATTTGTATTATTATTGTTGTTGCTGCTGTTATTATTATCATCAGCCAAAATCAATCCACTGTAAGGTGAAGTCTTCTTTAAGTGAAGATTGTGGACCATGATCTACCATACTAGTTCAGTTTCAGTTGTAGATAGATGGTTTTAAAGGTCCTTATCACACCCACCCACCCACCCAAATGTATACGGGGGCTCTACTTACATCTTATATCTTTTTTTTTTGCAAATGCCAGGTTTAGTTTGGGAAATGGTTGCTGATGGCTGCGTGTCTTTTTCTGCACTTTCTTAGATCTATAGTAAAAAAAAAAAAACATCATTACCTGTGGAAGTAAAGCAAGAGATGTCAAATATCTTTACTAAATCATGAAGCTCCATGGGTATCTTTAGGACAAGTCACACACACTCTCAGTTCAACCCAGCTCATGGGACTGCTGCCAAAAGAATGTGAAAGAACCATCTGCCTATCTGTTATCTTGAGTTTTCTAAGGTGATAACAAATGTTCTTTTCAAATTTTTAGTATGATTTTATACTAAGTAGCCGCTTCCTAACTCTACCTCTCTCTCTATCAGTTGCTAGATTGCTGAAACCTTTGGTCTGTGCATTTGTAATACTTGCTACCTAGGCATGCTGCCAAAACCATTCCCCAGAAGTGAATAATCCCAAGATGGACCATAAATTATAAGGCTATACATGTGGAATTTGCCATCATGTTGTGATTCTCCAGCATCCTATTCATGTTCCTTACAGCTGCCAGCAAGTGTGTGGAGAATTAGAAGCTGCATCTGATGCCTAATGGTATGAATGACTCCATGTCATGCAGCCAAACGAGGGATTAATCTAACAGAGAAAAACTGACTTGAGGCTGACTTTTGTATGAAATAGTAGAGTTTCCTGCTTGAGCAGGTGATTGGACTAGAAGACCTCCAAGATCCCTTCCAATTCTATTAGTCTGTGGCCTTGCAGATCCAATGTGATGCTTCCCAGGCTTCTAAGAGTACTTCTGTATCACTGATTGCCCCGGGGTGGGATTCAAATTTTTTAACAACCGGTTCTGTGGGCGTGGCTTAGTTGGTGGACGTGGCTTGGCGGTCATGTTATTGACTGGGCATGGCCAACTCAATATCACTCACATCGAGGCACGCATCTCCTAGCCTGGTCTCTCATGACTGTGGGGATACTGCAACAGTCGTGTGAAAAATGGTCATTAGTCACGTTTTCAGTGCCATTGTAACTTTAAATGGTCACTCCACACAAACAAAGTACCAGCAAAGGAGGGGAAAAAAAACTCCAGAGAAGTTCCTGAGACAGGAAGTCTAGTCCTGCCAAGAATGTAATAAGGGTTAACGGAGAGGCAGTTTCTGTAAGCAACACCAGAATGTTACCTTCCTGCCTTCCTTACAGGATTAGGCCAGTAATTTCTTCTTACGACCGGTTATCCGAATTGCTTAGAATGATAACCAGTTCTAGCAAATAGGTGCAAACTGGTAGAATCCCACCCCTGGATTGCCCCATTCTCCAATACATTCAAATTCAAAATTCCAGTGTAGGCAACATCTTTATGTAGTACATTGCTCTCATATTGTAAATCTCCACTGTACTACACGTGTCCCTCACATCACATACTGAGTTCAGATTCAGGTTTTCAGGAGTCCATGGTTGTTCCCAGCGTGGACTTTGGAAACATCTGAGCTGATCAGCATCTTACTTGTTTTGCAGCAAAAAATAATAATAAAACTATATAGGTGCCTAACTAACTATTCTGGAACCCAGTATAAGGGCATTAAGTGCTGAGAAATAAGGCAATTCCTTAGCTTCAAGGAAGAGGGTGTTTCAAAAAGTAAGTCTTCTCACTATGAAACTAGATCAGTATGTGTTCTGACCCATGCCCTTTTCCAATAAATCAAACACCATCCAAAGGGAACAAAAACCTTTTAATGCTTCTGCAAAATAATTAGCTGTGATAAACACAAGCCAAGCCAAACTGTGCAAGACTTGCCAAAAGATAATAGACAAGAAATAATTTGCAATACAAGAATCTTCAAACAAACTCAGGATACTGGAATGTCCACGAGGCTGGAGTTTCAAAACGTCTTTGCCTTCTGCAAAGTACGTTCCTTTCACAGCTGGCTTTTATCTTCTTGAAGGAGGGGCCATTACGTTGCAGCCTTACTCCCGAATTGCCCGTGCTATTGTAGCTGCTCTTTCCTACGAGCAATCCTGCGCGCACGCGCACTTGGCACAGGCTCCTTGGGAACCTCGTCATCACTGCTGCCAGACCCCACAATCTCTGAAGGCAGCAGTCCACTCCCTAATGGTCCTGGCCACTCATCAGATGAGTGGCCAGGACCATTAGGGAGTGGACTGCCTCAGCCATCCGCACCTGCTGCCGGCTAACCACAACAGTATGATACTGGCCCATATCAGTTTTCCACACTATAAAATTGGTCCATATCCAAGTCCCTGAAAGACTTCTAGTGCCTCAAATGGTAGAATAGAAATTTGAGGTTTTGGAACTAGAAGCCAATTGACCTGGACATTTAGCTAATATGGAAGATCAGGGATTATGCTGTAAATCACCCAGAGTTGTTGGATATAAGATGGACAGCAAAAAAAATTATAAATAAATAAATTTGCGGCTCATATATATGGAAAGTACCAGATTAGGATGGGCTGTGTGAACACTGCCTTGGCTAGACAGGCAGACAAAAAAAGTTGACCTCATCTTTTGCAGGGCAGCTTGTTTAAAAGCATTAGACTTTGAAATCATTCAATGAGGTAATTTCCCCTTGGGACTTTAAAGGACACTTTGGACCACAAGTGCTTTTCACAGAGATGTAACTTAAAACTGCTGTAGGTTTTCTTTTTCTTTTTTTCTTTTGGTGTTTGACATGCTGAAGATTGGATGGCTTCCTCCGTTACCCCTGCATGTGTGATAATTTGGCATAGGAGCCACACTTGTGTTTTCTTTAAAGACAGGTGTCTCTTGCAGATGGCAGCAGTTGGCCAACCTTGATTAGGTTTAGAGCTAAGCAGGATGGGTCTGACAGTACTTGAATGAAAAATCACCTGGTAATTCCAGCTGTTCCCTATGATTGCCAAGAACATGCCGGGAATATGTGCACATCCACTTCAAGGAACTTAATTTTAAATAGGTATTAGGGTTGTCACATTGCAACTCAAGTATGAGATACATTAAATCACCCAACTGCTGTTGGAGATGAGGCAGCCATAGTTGCTCCCTGTTCCTCTGGGCCTTAATGCCCCTTTTTCCTCACAAGATTCATATTAATTGCTTAACAGAGGTAGAATGGACCTTAAGACAGGGAAGAAACAGGTAGGAAAACACACACACACTGCCTCGTCTCTCATACCATTGGTAGCTACGGGACTAGAGTCCAAATTGGAAGATGACAGCCTAAACATAGGAAAATAATATTCCCTACGACAGTTATTTCATTATTGGGGAAGAGAAATGCCAGGCAAAATTTAGAATAGGCTTCAACATCCTTGTATACTCCAAGGTGGAATTTGCAGAGTAAAAATCTTGTCACATCTGGGGGGCACCAAGTTGCAAGAACCGGCTCCAGAGTAGGCTTCTATTGCCAGGCCCAAATCTACCAGTGGCAGTAGAACATGGTTGCCTAGCAACTGTCACATTCTCCATCCACCAGCCCTGCCCCTCAGAGTAGCTCCTGCTGAAGGCCAGCTGTTTCAATGGAGGGAATGAGGAAACAGCTGGCAAATGTCTTTTGATAAATCTTCTGTCGATGCAGTTCGGAATATGCATCAGACTTCCTGTATTCTTAATACTGTTGCGCATACACTTTTCTTCTGTTATTATTTGAGGCAATACCTTTCACAAGATATAGCCAAGAAAAAAATGGGATCTCCAAATATTCCATCTATAGCCTTAACACCTCGCTCTGTGAGCTGAAACAGGCTGCTTGGGGTGTGTGTCTGTGTGAGTGTGTGTCCCCGTGTCCCCTGTATAAAAGGACATGTTTGCCTCTTGGAAAGAGGTCCTCCAGGATATAATCTGAATTATAATTTGACCCTCCCTATCAAAAGCCTGGGAGCCCAAATTCCAAATCCTTTTACCTTTTTCCTCACAAGCCTTCATATTAATTGCCTAACAGAGGCAGAATGGACCTTAAGACAGGGAAGAAACCATGATGAGAGTCTAAGGAGTTACAATAATTACAACCTGGACCACAGGATGGAACAGGGGCTACATTTCCAGGTTGCAAACCTTTGCTTTTCCAGTTGTTTTTTCTTCTTCCACATATCCTTTCTTACGAAGCCTCCTTTTCCCTACAGGGGTGAATACTAAATTGGGGCTGCAGGGAGGCCCTTTATTTCTTTTTGTTTCCGTTCCTTTTCCAGCCACCTCCGCATATGTCTCTCTGCCAGGGAAATGTCAGCAGCCAGCAGGGAGAGGAATTGGTGATATACACTACCTCCTCCCCATTTCTCAGAGCTGGGAAAAGAGCCAAGGACTTTACAGTGCAACCCCCCCTTCCTCAAAAAAAAAAACAACAACCACAAAGCACAAGTACCACTATTCTAATCAATTTAGTCCCTTTTCAGAAAACCTAGGAATCCTGCCCTCCCAGAGTCTCCATGCTAGGGCCGACACCCACTTTCTCTGCCCTGCTAACTGTGGAGCAGAACAGATACACTACAATTGAGTTTACTTCCTCTGATGCTTTTTGTCTGCGGACAGGATAATCTAAAATATTTTTCTTCTTCTGGCCACCTAGATTAGGGTTTACCAGATCTGGGCTGCAAATATCCAGACACCCACTAAATAGCAGCAAAGGTCTAGGAAATGTTGTAATCTAGTGGTCATCTATTGGTAGTGTTGTTTATGCAGCCCAGAATTGGTAGCCCTGATACATGCATCCTTCTCCATACCAGACTGGGACTCCCGTTGCTGCTTTCTCAATGGCTATGATTTGCTGATCCGTGAAATGCTAGTTGTTGTTCACCATTTCCATGGCATCCTTGCTTCAATTTTATCTCCACCACTCAATGGCTTCCCCGCATTCCTTTTGGTGTGTTTTGATAAATCCCACTGCTTTTTTCCTCTCCGTGCCTGATCTGCATCCTTGCCTCCACCCTTTCTTTGTCAGCCTTTTTGTGTTTTGCTGTGTGCCTTTGTGAAGCCTCTTCACTTTCCCATCCTGCATTGTCTTCCTTTTTATCTGCTTTTCTATCTGGCTCTTGCTTGTTAACTGCATCTGTCACTTTTCTCTTTCTGTGTTCCCAACATTAATTGCATTTCTGCTCCTTCTTATCTGTCCTCATTAGTCCACCTTCCTCCTCAGCTGTTCTGTTTCTCCATCCTTCCCCACTATATTTTCACTAGAACCTCATTATATCTCCCCCCTCTTTTGTTGACTGTTCCTTCTCTTTTTTTCTGCTCTTTATCTTTTGCTCAGCCTTTTGATCATCGCAATTTCTTCATTCTTCAACTGCCCCCTTTTCCAGAGTCCATCTTCCAACACGCCAGCAATTATGAGTAATAGAGAAGCATTTGCTAGACACAGTGGAGGAGCTGGTATTTTAACTTGAACTTTTCTTATTTCTTCATCTTTTTATAAAAAAAAATACATGTTTCTCTTCTTTAATCATCCTTCCAACTTCTTTATCACCTCCCTCCCTGCCTAGCTTTTCTTTATCCAAGCTTCTATCGTTGGTGCCTTCAGGTCTCCAACTTGTACCAGACATTCTTTTGGATTTCTATTCGTTTCTGATCTCCCGTGATCCTAATCTAGCCATCCCCTGCCCCATATTTATTTTTCCAACAAGCTCCAAATCCCCATCCTCTCTTGCTTGGTCTTTCATCCTTTTACTTTGTGGTCCCCATTCTTGTCCTTGTATTATTCTTTCTTCACTTATCTCCAAAACATTCCAGATGTTTCTTCCTTCATCATTTCATCTTGCCTCCTATTGGTCCAACCCCGCCTTACCTTTTCTGATTAAGACCTAACCTGTCTGCTGAATTTCTGTCCCTCACACTACTCTGAATCATTACCTAAGTGGGTTGCATTCAGAGGACCCCAACCCCTTGCCTCAGCTCCCAATAATTAAGTTTAACCAAAGTTAGCCTGCTGGACAATCCCAGCTATTAGTTCTTGGAGTGATTAGGCTGGGTAAACTTGGCTGATCTCCCTAACTCATTCCTTTGGCTTCTTCCTGTTCCCCATCAGTTTCATTTCTTTCTTTCTTTCTTTCTTTCTTTCTTTCTTTCTTTCTTTCTTTCTTTCTTTCTTTCTTTTCTTTTCTCTCTCTCTCTCTCTCCCCCCACCTTTCTCTCTCTGTGCGTGTATGTGTGTGTTTACTAATCTCATCTCTGTTCCTCCTGGCTCTGGTCTGTCTCATTTGAATCCTTTATGTTACACCTCTTTCATAGCGTTCCTAACTCCGTTCCTCCTTTGCCTTCTCCATCCTCTCTGCCCTTTCTCCGCGCTTCTTCATGCTTCTCCCATCATCCCAGATGGTCTCCTAACCGTCTGGTCTCCCTCTCCTCTTCTAGCAGTCGCCTGCTCTTTTCTTAACGCCTTCTTTTTCTTTTTTTCTTTTCTCCAACCCCTGGTGGGGAGGGGTCTCTGCCTTTCGTTCTTTCTTCGTTCTTCCCCATCGTCGGCGCGTTTCCTTTGCCGCCTCGCTCCCTCCCTCGCCCGCCCGCCCGCCGCCCCTGCGACGAGGCGGTGCGGTGGGCTTATTGCAATTCCCCCCGCGCCCTTGGACGGCGGCGTTCCGCGCCGGCTCCGCGCTGACATCAGCCCCCCTCCCGCCCCCTCCTCCCCCTCCCCTCGACCCCCCTCCTCCTCCTCCTCCTCTTGGCTGGCTCGCTCGCCAACCCGCCCGCCTGCCAGCTCGCTCGCTCGCTTACTGCAGCACCGACGCCGGGCAGCGCCATGGAGGAGCCGGCTCCGGCGCCCTCGCCGCCGCCGCCGCCGCCACCACCACCGCGCAGTGCAGCCATCACCGCGCGCCCTCGCCGCCGTCGCCCCTGACCTCCGGCCGGCACCATGGCCTTACCCGGCCCGCGGCCCGGCGGGGGCCCCCAGGCGGCCTTGCTGGTACTCACGGGCTGGCTCTTGCTCTCTCCTCCGCTAGGCGCAGGCAAGAAGAGGCTGCACATCGGGGCGCTTTTCCCCATGACCGGCGGCTGGCCGGGGGGCCAAGCCTGCCTGCCTTCCGCCCAGATGGCCCTCGAGGACGTCAACAGCCGGAGGGATATTCTGCCCGACTACGAACTGCGTCTCGACCACCGCGACAGCGAGGTGAGCAGAGCCCTACGACCCCGGCGCCCAGGTGGGGACGGGTGGGCTTCCGCAGAGGGAGGGAAGGGAGAGAGGGTCCTCGGTTGCGGCAGGGAACCCCCCCGCCCCCCAATTACACTAGAGGGAACCATCCACTCAAAGGAGGTGGGAGAAATCAAATGGGGAGAGGAGGACTTTACTTGTGCCTTATAACCAAGCTAGTTCTGCGTGGGGTGGGAGGCTTGAGCATCACGGACAATCTTGGCACGAGTCCTCCTCACCTCCATATCAGGCAGGGGACCCATCTGTAAATGGAGACCAAAGCGGTTTGGAAAGGTGTTTTTAAAGGTGTCAGTCTTCGCAACTAGGATACCCTTGGGTGTGGGGGAGAGGCTCATGAGAAAGATGGAAAGACAAAGCAGCCTTCGAAGGAGAGATGTGGAATTCCTGCAACTGGTTTTGATGGGGAAGCAGGGATGTGCGTGTGAAAGTTCACAAGAAGACGGAAAGATGAGGGAAAGGAAAATAGCAGGACTAAGTTAGCATTCAGGGCTTTCGAGCTATGGGAGAGGCAGAGACTGTGAGCATAATCCTGCAGAAGTCCGTCTTTTCTCACCCAACTTTCAACATGTTCCTTTGAGGTCAGAGCCTCGGTTGGTAGGACTCTGTGCAATCTTCTCATTTCCTTGCAAGAGTTGGTCAATCTTGGGCTCCTCCCAAGAGTTTGAAGACGAAGGAGTTACGGGGAACTTAGGGTACTGCCCCAGACCACGTTTAGAGGATCTAGGAAAAAGAATGACCTGGAAGATGGGGAGGCAGAGAGCTCTCATAGGGCGTAATGGTCCAACATAGCAAGAAGGTCAACTGTTGGGAAAAGGGTGGGACTGGAACAGGGACATTGGTGCATCTATTGGAAGCAAAGTTTGGAGAGCCTCTTCAGAAATGGAGACGGTGGAAAGGGTTGGAGATTCCAAACATGAGAATGACTCAGTTAACAATTTGCTAGGGTTCCCATGTAGAGAGAGATGTGCTGGAGGAAGATGCCTGTTTTTAATGTGAGGAGGAGGAAGAGGAGAAGCAGCGGCGGCAGTGTTCACCATTATAGGTAGTCCTTGACATACGACCACGATTGAGCCCAAAATTTCTGTTGTTAAGTCAGTTTTGCCTCATTTTGCAACCTTTCTTGCCACAGTTGTTAAGTGAGTCACTGCAATCAATAAAATAGTAATTCAGTTGTTAAGTGAATCTGACTTCTCCATTGACTGCTTGTCATAAGGTCGCAAAAAGGGGATCACATGACCTTGGGACACAGTCAAAAGTATGAACCAGTTAACAAGCATCTGAATTTGGATCACATGATCACTGGGATGCTGCAAAGATCGTAAGTGTGAAAAATGGTCATAAGTCAACTTTTCAGTGCCGTTGTAACTTTGGTCACAAAATGAATTGTTGTAAATGGAGGACTACCTGTAGCCTTCTAAAAGGAATAGAGGTTGAGAAGTACATTTTAGGGAGCCCTTGACTTAAACACTAAGCAGGCTTTTAAGAGTGGTTTGTATGGATAAGAGACCACCAGGAAATTCTTGGCTTTAGGTTGACCGGAAAAAGATCCCAGCAGGGGCTGTGGAAAACCTTTCCATGCAACTGCCAAGATAACTGTGTGAATGCAGGTATATAGTCTCCAGGACTCAAGTTCAGCTTGAAGAAAACTATATCAATAAAGGAGAATATTTGTAGCTCAGGGTTGAAATGAGGGGTCCTTGGTGCTCTCTGAGCTTGGTTGTAGATGTTTCATTAACCAAACTAGGAAACATCATCAGTGCTACTCTGATTGACAAACTTGACCAGCACTGATGATATTACCTAGTTTGGGTAATGAAACAACTTGTTTATCTACAAGAAACAACCAAGCTCAGAGCACCAAGGACCCTCAGGAAACTATATCTTTAATGGGGCTTATTATAGGACTGGAGGCCTTGTCAGCAAAGCAGTTTCTTGAAAATAATACAGTACATTATAAAACAGTTGGTCGTTTGGTTGTAGGTTTTTTAGGTATAGGTCTTAAATGGGAGATCACTATGCCAATCGTCAAAAAAGGTTGATTGAGGTAGCATCACAGATATTATGAGGCTATCTTCACCAGGACCAGCCATGTGGATAAACAGAGGTAAGATCTATCATCTTATTCAAGGTTACAGGTTGTCCTTGACATATGACCGCAATTGGGGCCAGACTTTGTGTTTGTCAAACAAAACAGTTGTCAAGTGATTCACACCCAATTTTACAATTGTTTTGTCATGGGTATTAAGCATTCACCATGGGTTTTCAGTGAATCTGACTTCCTCCATTGACTTCGCTTATCAGAAGCCAGATGGGAAGGTTTTGAATAGTGATCACATGATCCAGGGACATTGCGGTCACTGGTAAATACATACCAGTTGCCAAGTTTCCAAATTTGGATCACTTGACTGTGGGGATTCTGTGACAGTTGTATGCGTGAGGACCAACAGTAAGTCACCATTTTTTTCAGAACCACCATAACTTCGAATGGTCATCGACTGAATGATTGTAAGTTCAGGACTACCTGTATTCCAGAGCAGTGTTTCCCAGCCTTGACAATTTGAAGATGTGTGGACTTCAACTTCTGTCTGGGAATTCTGAGAGTTGATGTCCACGCATCTTAATGTGGTCAAGGTTGAGAAACATTGCTCTAGAGTTACCGGTATAGGGATGGGTGTGTATTTTGGTGTGAGGAAGAAGGTAGACAGGAGCAACCAGCTTCTTTTGAGCCAATAATGATGTGAAATTCCTCATTCTCAGAGCACCATTTCCTGCCCAAACCAACACGGTCCAAAGTCAGTTGCAAATAGGGTTGAATAGCAAATGTTCCTTAAGCCAGATCTGTCTCTTGAAATATGAACATCCTTGTCAATCGCCCTCTCTGCTTCCCAACGTTTCATTTTTGAAAAAAATCATGTGTCTCCCTCAAGAAAGACTGTATAGAAAGAGATTATGCAGAGAATTGGCATGGCATTTCCAAGGAACTAGCTTTGGTCATGCCCAATTGTTTTATGTGCTTCTGTTGCACACTCTTTGTCCATTTAGGACTGCATGCACCATTTCTGACCGGTACAATCATGAGTCGTTCCATTTGCACTCGTTGCTCTCTATTATGTGTTGGACAGCTCCCCTTGTTTGTTAAGTTCTTATTCAATCCTTTGTCCTTTTGCTTTTATCTCTGCATCTGTTTTTTATATACCTATATTTTTTCTGATAATCAGCAGTATTAGATGAGTTATTGTGAATGTGTGGAAGAGAACCCGGGGGTGCTGTTGTAAAATGATGTTTCCTGTGTGGTTTAAGCTTTCTGGAATGTGGGTTCCTTTGTGCTCCCTGAGCTTGGTTGTTTTCTTGCAGACCTTTCATTACCAAAGTAGGTAAGTTCCAAAGGTGGTATTCAGCCGGTTCTGACCAGTTCTGGAGAATAGGTAGCGGAAATTTTGAGTAGTTCGGAGAACCGGCAAATACCACCTCTGACTGGCCCCGTCCCCATCTCTTCTCTGCCTCCTGAATCTCAGCTGATCGGCTGGGTCTTCTTTTGTTGCCCTGCACAGGAGAATGGAGCTGGAAAGCAGGTTAGTGGGGTGGGGAGGGAATGGGGATTTTACAGTATCCTTCCCCAGGAGTGGGGTGGGAATGGAGATTTTGCAGTATCATTCCCCTGCCACGCCCACCAAGCCACACCCACAGAACCGGTAGTAAAAAAAATTTGAATCCCACCACTGGTAAGTTTACTGATGATGTTGCCCAGTTGGGTAATGTCTGCAAAATAAGCAACCAAGCTCAGAAAGCGTAGACCCACAGTTCAACCCTTGGCTACAAATGTTCTATTGGTGCCTTCTGCAATGTCCTTCAGGCTAAATAACAAATGGGAACAAGCCATGTCTTTCACCCCTACCTGGAGTAGACTCCTGGTTTTCATCATGAGTATTGTAAAAGCCATTACGGTATGGGTCCTTATGCCACATGTCGCCATAATTAGACCGTGTTTTTCTTCCCAAGATTGGGAAGTGAACCAAACTCTTCCTGTGGCTCTGATGGGCGTATGTGAACAGAATTCCCCCAAACACCCATCTTAACTTCCTCATTTGCTGCAACTCCCTGCCTGAAAGATTCTTGGACCGACTCTGGCAACTTGAGGCAGGCCACATGCCCTTCCCTACAAGACTTTCCCCACAAACAGGATGCCCATGTTGAAATCCCTGTAGCCCTTTCCTTAGCCCAGCAGCTACCCACAGCTACGTACACCAGCCCTTTTCCTCCTCCATCTCAAAGCAGGCACAAAGCAATGTGGCCCAGCTGCCACCATCCTGCCCGGTTCCCTTGCAGGGAATTTCTGCAAACTTTTTTTTTTTTTAATCATTATTTTCTGCTTTCCTCCATCTCTACATAGCCTGTCTCTGCTCTCCTCCATTCCTCTACCCATCAGTCTGCCTGGTCGTCTGTCCCTTCTCCCACACACATCTCCCCTCCCTGGCCTGCCTGTTCCTGTTTCTCTCTCCCCCCACCACCCTTGTCTTCTGCTCTCCTGTGGTTCCCAGTCAACCTCACCACCACCCCCATGGCGTTCCCTTTGTTCCCTCCCTATTGAAGCCCCGCTCCCTGGTGCTGACAGGTTGCCGTGGCAGCGCCTGCCTGAGGTTTCCATGGAAACTGATCCTCTTTCTTGGGGCGGCGGTGCCCTGAATAATTTCATCATCCCCTTGCGGTGGAGGCTCACAGCCAGGAACAGGATGTGGCACATGGTGGAGGGGTAGGGAAAATAAAAAAACAGGGTTGAGTCTTGGATGGGACGTTTATTCAAAGAGAGAACAAGCAAGACAGGGGTCAGATAGGATGTGCAGAGTTAAGTGGGCATTAGTTACACGCTCAAGCCCGTGGAAGGTGTGTGGAGAATCTTTGGATGGACCGGATGGCAGTAACATTTTGCCATGGCTAGAGAGCACAACGGATAAAATGACAGTGCAGGATGGGCAGAGCTATTGTTTTGTGTAGGAGTTGGATTTTTTTTTTTTCATTTACTTTTTTTGGTTAGGTTAAGGCTGCAGTTCGGTGTTTTCCCTCTACACATTTTTAGGAAGCTGCCACCCTTTTTAGCAGCTGTAATCTTAGGTGGCTGTGGGGAATCACAGAAAAGAGTTTGCCTACCCTGCCTTAGTGGGAGGGGAAGTTTCATTAGCCAACTTGGCTCCAACCCCCCCCCCCCCCCCCCCCCCCCCCCCCAACCTCTTAACTGGAAAGTCCTCAGACGACTGGGCAGTTGAGAAAATGGCCTGGCTGGAAAGTAATGGCAGTGCAAAGCGTTTATGAACTGTTGCTCAGAAAGTGATATGGGCCTGCTCACAAAGTCACCGGCATCGTGTTCATTAATACAAGGGAGATTTTACTCCTATTTATAGTCGCCGTCAGGCTGAGAGGCTTAGCTATGTTATGCCTTATTAGTGGAAATGTAGGGGAAAGTAACCTTTGGTCTGCTTCTCCATGGTGAAAATTCATCCTGTCTATAATAGGTTGGCTGTTTCTTTCTGCACGTTGACATAGAAATGGACTGAAGTTGTTTCTGACCAGTAATGTGTCCATGGAAAAGTCATTTCCTTCCTCGTGTAATCCCAGTGAATTCCAAGAAAGGTTGGGCCAAGCCCCTTCAGCTGTCCTGCTCGCTCCCATTCAAACCCAGTTCAAACTCCAGGGTTGGCAACTTTTTAACTTTGTCAAAGAAAAAAAAAATCCAGTTAATTACTGATTCCTCACTACTATGAAGCCTTCTAACCTAGAGTTGTTTCTAGACGAGAGGGATGACACATAAATCTAATAAATGGGTAAAATAACTGTGATTTCCTCCTCCTAGGCACCTTCCAAACATTGTAGACTTGAATTCCCAGAATTCTCAGCAGTGGATATACTGGCTGGGAATTCTGAGAACCGAAGTCCATGTTTCTAGGAGAGACCCAGGTTAGTGAAGAGACTGTCCTAACCAGGGATAGGCTTCAAAAATTTTAGCAAAGGGTTCTCTGCCTGGTTGCTGGGTGGGCGTGGCCTAGTCAGCCTCCTGCACCACGGTGGTGTGTGTGTGTTTTTGCCCTCCCCTGGCTCCAGAGGCTTTCCTACAGCCTCCAGGAGGGTGAAAACGACCTCCCCGGGCTCCAGAAGCTCTCTGGAAGCTGGAAATGGGCCCATTTCTGGCCTTCCCGAACTTCTGGGTGGCCCGTTTTTGGCCCTCCCCGATCCTCCGTGCACGCCCTGCACTTACCTGCATCCAAAACAGGCCGTGTGAGGAATCCTGGGAGGGGTGGGGTAGGGTAGGTGGGGCCAGCCAAGAATGGGATTTTGGGGGTTCTCCGAACTGCCTAGAATCTTAGCTAGGGGCTCTCCTAAACCCCTGGTCCTAACTTAGTATCTTCATTGTTCAGAAGCTAGGGGAATAAGGGATATAGCATATCTGCGGTAAGCTGACTCTTTGGAGAAGCCATTTCCTTCCTTGTGCAACCCCATTGCAATCCAAGAACTCTGGTCTATCGGTAGTGGCATTCATTTCTAGGTCTTGGCAGAGCAGTTGGCAAGTATGTGATATTAATGTCTTTTTATGGAGCAAGGATCACAGGAGGGCAGTGGTCCATCTGTGAGAGGAAGGTTCATTGCCAAACCAAGTGCTCCATGCTTTTTCTCTGCCTACTTAACAAATTACATTCTCACTTTACTACAAAAGCCTTTTCCATTCCATTCTACCCAAATTTACATGGCCATTTAACTCTTTCTATCACTAATTTTGTCCAAACATGAATCTTGCATATTTCTTTTAGTCGTTCTAGTTTGCAACTGGTTCGTGTTTCGGCTCCATTTCATGTACAGCTTCTTACCTAGCATTTGATAAGAAAATAAATGATTAGGAAACAGTTCCCTGAGTTTGACCAGAATTCTTAATTTGGTGCATGCAGGACCATGAGCAGCTTCAGATTCTTGGTGATGAGGTTTATCTCTTATCTGTTCCTCACCACCTACAGTGTGAACCTGGTGTGGCAACTAAATTTCTGTATGAGCTCCTCTACAATGACCCCATCAAGATCATCCTTATGCCTGGCTGCAGCAGTGTTTCTACCTTGGTGGCCGAAGCTGCACGCATGTGGAATCTCATTGTGGTAAGTGTCTCTCCTGTTGATTTATAGGGTGATGATATGGGAGAAGCCAAGTCTAATTTTGACCCTGCAAGTTGACATTTTCAACCTGAAACACACGAAGAAAATGCTTCAAAGCAGGGGTGGGATTCAGCCGGTATGGATCGGTTTGGGTGAACCGGTAGTTCTGGCGATCATTTGGCCCCGCCCACCTGCCCCTGCTCTATTCTGTCCTATATTTCCTTCGTTCGAAGCCCAGCTGATTGGCACAGCAGCACAGATTGCTGCGCCTCAGCTGTTTTTACTCACCGGGGCTGCGGCAAAAGGTAAGTTTTCTTGCTATTTTCAAAATTACTGAGAAGCGCGTGCCCACCAAACCGGTTGTTAACACTGGTTGACTGCTTCAAAGTGAAAAGATTGAAAGTACTATACCTTTCTCTTAACATGTATCATGAATGAAAGAAGGTCAAATATGTTGGAAGACTCCATAACCTTGACCTTGACTGAAGCGTCTCTAGATGCATAGGAACGGATGTCTTCCATGTTAACCAGACAGATCTGCGTGCTTGTATGAAGGGACAGAAAGGAAATCTTCACCTCAAAATTAGCTCAGGAATACCGGGTGCCTCAATCTTCCTGTCTTTAATCATATTCCCGTCTTCTTTTTTTCAGTTGTCCTATGGCTCCAGCTCGCCAGCCCTTTCCAACCGCCAGCGTTTCCCCACCTTTTTCCGCACGCACCCATCCGCCACACTGCACAATCCCACCCGTGTGCAGCTCTTCAAGAAATGGAGCTGGACGAAGATTGCCACAATACAGCAGACCACTGAGGTGTTTACATCGGTATGGAGCCCAAACCTGTGCGTTGACCCTCTCCCCAGCTTAATCTCTTAGTCATTCTGTAATTTGCAGCAGGTTCCAGAACACTCGCCTTTCAGTCTTACCCTGATTATAATCCCTGGTTCCTCTCCTAAACACAACAGGTTTCCAAGTCTAATACATCGTCCTTGCAATTTGTATATACAAACCGCATTGTTTCTTCCAGGGGCTCAGTACTGGGCTGATTTCCAAAGAAACCAAGGACAATTCATTGATTAATTACTGCAGTTATATTCCATCTTTTCTTATCGGTGCTCAAGATAATGTACATGGGATCTTTCATTTTATTGCTATAGCAACAGTCCTGTGAGATAGGTTAGCTTAAGAGAGAAGCCTGGCCCCATGATTTAGTGAGGACTTGAAAGTATATCTCCTCAGTCCGAGACTAGTAATCACTAGACTGCCTGTGTTCATAAATCCCTTCTAAAACTACCTCGTTCTAACTACTTTCCAGAATTTCAATTAATCAGTCCATCACCTGCTACCTGATTCTTTTAATCACAGGTGCAGGGTTTTAAAACTAGGACAGTCTTTGTGCAAAATATTTGTTCTGGCAATGGATAGTGCCTTTCTCCTATACCAGTCCTGCCCTAATATTGTAATCCACAGTAGAGGAAAGCTGGTGTACTCCTGATAATCATTACGATCTTGAACTACCTCTTTACTTTTTCCCCCTCTTGGTAAATGATGATCCTAATGGAGAATATTAAAAATTGTCTAGAAGACTATTGCAGTGAAGACAGAATCTTTGTTGCATCCTTGAATTTATGCCAATCCTTGTTAGCCAAGGGATACGAACAACGATATTTCACACTTACTGTATGCAATGATCTTTAAAATATCTTGGCAGCAGCCTTTGCTTCATAAAAGCCCTGATTCTGTAATAATTACCAGTCACCAATAAAATTGGCAAATCATTCCTATTTCAGGATGTGCTTTCATTACCGTCTAATTATGTAGTCGCTTTTGAGCAATAAAAACTCCCCAGCATATAAACTAACTAAATAAATATAACTGACATAATCTTCAGCATTTTCAGAATCTCCACACATATTATTTCATAAAAGACAAAACAAATGAACAAAACTCCTTCTCATAGTCCTAGCGCTTGTGGTTTCAAAAGATTTTAAAATGCAGGCAGTGTTTGGAGGGATCTGAAAAGAATAGATCTTAAAGTGGACAAGGAACAAGGACAAGAAAGGATACAAAATGATAAGGAAGGATATAAAAAGGTACAAAATAGATGGTGCCTGGCTCAACATTAGTAACTGTGAGAGAGATTGAGGTGTCCTAATGGACCACCACTTAAATATGAGCTAGCAAGGGGCTGCAGTTGCCCAAAAAGCCAATCCAGTCCAGGACAGTATCAACATTAAGATCATGAGAAGTGATAATGCTGCTTTATACTGCACTAGTGAGGCCATATTACTGCATCCACTTCTGGTCACCACAATACAAAAAAGTTGCTGAGATCCTAGAAGATACATAGAGAATAGCAACAAAGAGAATTAGAGGTCTAGAGGCTAAACTGTATGATGAACATTTGACAGACCTACGTATGTCTAGCCCAGGCGTGTCAAATTCACATCATCACCAAAGGTGGCATTCAGCAGGTCCTGACCATTTCTGGAGAACCGGTAGAGGAAATTTTGAGTAGTTCAGAGAACCAGCAAATACCACCTCTGACTGAAGATTTTACAGTATCCTTCCCCTGCCATGTCCACCAAGCCACGCCCATAGAACCGGTAATAAAAAAAATTGAATCCCACCTCTGATCGCCACGTGACATATCGTGACTTTTTTCCCCTTTGCTAAACCAGGCGTGGGTGTGGCCACTGCATGACACACCCCGCAGGCCACGAGTTTGACACCCCTGGTCTAACTCATCGAAGAGAAGGATTATGGGGGACATGATAGCTGTCTTCTAATACTCGAGAGGCTGTTATAGAGAAGTAGGGATTGACTTATTCTCCAAAGTCCTTCCTTATTCACCTCCTGGTTCTTTTTCATATTTTGCAATATCTCAGCTGATCTTTCCTCTTGTTGCTGTTTGCCACTTGAATCCATACTAAAACATTTCAAGTTTGTACAAATGCAGCCTACCAACTCATGTTATCTATGGTAATTGCTTCCACTTATATATATTATTTTCATTAGATTTGAGTTTCCTAATGCATACTACCGATAATATAGTTTATCTACCAGAAATAACCTTGCAAATCTCAAACTTCAGCAGGGTTTTAAATATCCATGTGTATCTCTCTCCCAGCACAAAGACCCTATTCCTGAACTGAATGTGCAGAATTAAGATTAAGGTCTTTCTCCTTGATTGTCTCTGAAGGAAGACCCATCTGAAGTTTAATGCCCTCTCTCTACTTGATGGTATCTCTGTAATTACTACTGTACATAATCGTAATCTTCTTTTGGATTATTAGCACTATTAGGAGCCATCCCTTTATCCTACACACAAATGGACAATTTAAACTTCTGGGTATATCTCAGGCTTGCATATCCTTAGAAACCCCAAGAAAGGTTTCCTTCCAGATGTCAAGACTAAGATAAACTGAAAATGTGCACGACAGAAATTATTAAAAATAGGTTCTCTCCAGTGTGTGATCTATGGACCCAGAGAAAGACTGACTGATTGATGATTCTGCATACACAAATATCCAGAGTCCCCTCTGTCTCAGAAAATCTCAGCTCTGGATGTTGGGAGACACCCTGGAATTATGGGGGTGGCCTGCAGTTGGAAGAGGAAATGGCAAAAATTATCCCCTCCCTAGTCTGCTGGCTTTCTGGGAGAAAACTTCATATAGGATGCTCTTGCCCATGTAGAAGGTGAAATCAATTCCATATTTATTAAGTAGACTATATAGTATAATGTCACATAAAGAGCCAATTTGGTCTAGTGGTTAAAGCATCAGGCTAAAAACCAGGTGACTGTGAGTTCTAGTCCTGCCTGAGGCCAGGTGCCCTGGAGCCGGTCACTACTTCTCTCAGCCATAGGAAGAAGGAAGGAAGAGTAGATCATCGGGGGGGGGGGGGGGGGGGGCAGGGGAAACCTTTGCCAAGGAAATTTCAAGGTCTATTCCGTGCAGTTGCCAGGAATCAAAAGCTGGCATGAAGGTGCCCATATATGGTGAAATAACAAGAGTGATGCTGTAATTCTTTTCCCGCATTTGAGTTTTTCATCCTGAAGTTAGACAGATGAGAGGGGGTGGGATAGGTTGGGATGGGAAAAAGGAGGAAGTGACAAGAGGAGAAATAATGAGTCTCTTAATATGCTTCTAGACTGCTCTCTCTAGCAGAAAATATATTTTCAGGACCTTTTTTTTCTTTACTGAATTTTAATAAATGTCAACTGAGATCTCAGCTGAGGGCTATTTGTCTCAACGATGTCCTAACAACAATTACAGCTTCCTCTTTCAGAGAAGGAAAAAAAAAAACAAATCCCACAAATAGCTCCAAGAAAAAAGAAGAGCATTTTCACCAGCTGTTTTCCAAAGTCTATCACATTTATTCAAATGTGAAACCCCAGAATTATTTTTACGTGACCTGTAATGCGCAATCGGGCTGCAGCCCTGCGTCTCTCACAGTGGTGTATTGCCATTTGCACCACCAGGGCTCTGCGATCCTCCTCCTGCCCAAACTTGTTCTTCGTTTTTGATTAATCCCCAGTCCAATTATCAGAGAAATTAAGAAACTGTGGCTGATCATAGCAGCTCTAATTAAGGCAGAATATGACGGATGCAAGCAACGTCTCATAATACTTGCACATTGTTGGGTATTATCGTTATCACAGTTATTATACCAGAGATACAGTGGAACAGAAAGATCAACACTATTGGAATCACAGTATAGGTTACATTTTTCACTTCTTTGGAAAAAAAAATATTTTAAAAGAAAAACAGCTCCTGGACCCTGGACACAAACATGTTCCTGGTCCCGATTGGGGCTCTTAGGTCATCGATTTCAGCAATTGTGAAAGTAACAATGCTAAGTGTGCTTGAGTTTATGCCAGATATACAAGTATCCAGCTAATTTTAGGTGGTTGCATTCAAACCTTTCTCTGTATATCCCTAATTCTACTCCGCTTCCTGTTTGTGGTTTGTTTCCTCCTTGGCTTCTCCTTTTAATAAGTAGCATCCAGTCGTGCAAATATTCTCTCTACTCATGGAAAAGTATTTCTTTGCTTGCAGTGGGGCTGTTTCTCATTGTGTCCAAGAGCTTCCACAGGGAAGAGACATAGAAAAAGGAAAGCTTCTTTGTCACATAAGAGTTTGATCCTTTGTGTCTATTTTTCCTGAATAGAAAGAGAGCTACAGGTACATTAGAAAACACTGATTGTGTGAAAAGAGGCCAAAGTATGTGAAATAATAATATGCTAAGCAATTTATTTTGTATTTGTCCCTGTGAATGAAAAGAAGCTGTATAGTGCAAAACAAGGTATTTGACTAGGTATTTTTGTGCAGCTACAGGGCTTCCATTTTTTGAAAACATAGAAGCTGAACTTCTGAACTTCTGTTTTCTGCAGAAATGCTGGAGATTTTATAAGCATAAAGCTGGCATTGCAATTTTCATGGTTTAACCTGTGCATGGAATGATTTTGTGCATTGTGTTAAGCTGGTATTTGTATAGTCATATTTTTTATTGAATAAATGATAACTGGGTTGGGTTTTCAATCATGGCTTGAAAAACAGAATTACTGGATTCATACAGCAGACTGAACTGTACTGTGCTTTGTTTGGGGTTGGCTTATTATTAGTTTAGTAGCATGAGATGCAAACTCAGAATATATATTCCCCTACCTTAACGTAGCTCCTGAAGTACATCTTTATCCAGGTCCTTATATCTTTGTGGTTATGATACCTCCTTCTGCATTCCCACAGACTTTGGATGATCTGGAAGAGCGAGTCAAAGAGGCTGGGATTGAAATCACTTTTCGCCAGAGCTTCTTCTCTGATCCTGCGGTGCCTGTCAAGAATCTCAAGGTATCGAAGTGTGTCTGACTGTCAAGGGAGGGCCAGGTTGGGACCCACAGCCTTCCCCAACCCACCGCCTCTCCCACGTAGGATTAAGCTTGCAGCCAGAGAGTATGTTAGGGAAGATTGCCCTTCATCCCCAATCGCCAACTCCATGATCGCAGGGGTGAAATTTGACAACAAAATAATAGACTTGGCAGAGTTGTCAGGAAACGTTTCTCTTGCAAATTGAAAAGCAACATGGCCACACTAAACTTTTACAAAAGAATTTCCTACAAACATGTTTGACCCTGTTAGCCTTGAACATCTCAACATGGAGGCTAAAAGGGGGTTAATTCTAAACAGATTAATGATTCCGGTGAATAAATTGTTATATTATATAACCTTGTTTTTTTAGAAATGAACCCGTTTATCCATGAACTGTACATGATTGATCATGGGCCATTAAATTAATGTTGACTGGTAGTGTACATTTGCCTGTATGTGCATGTCTGAATGTATCTTTGTATGTGTGTCTATCTATCATATGTTGCTAGTGGACTTCTTGGCTGAGTTAGTGCTTTGTAGCTGGCTTTGGAAATGCATATACGCAGGTTATCTATAGCATAAAACAGAGATGAGGGGAAAAGGCACTGAAATTATCTGATGGGCTTACCTGCTAACCTGTCCCCTATATTTGCTGGGATCAATTTTTTTTTAACTGATGCAGTTCATTGGGCAAGCTGCAAGTATGTTTGCTGTGAAATGTGGAAATGATTTCATACAAACCGAATCATATGTTCAAGTGCTACTTATCTTTAGATTTTTGGAACTTAACTTTTGAATGGAATGCAGTGCAACTGATGCAGTCTCTTTGAGAGGCCATTGTCCAGAAAGGCTACGTTGGAATGTTAAACTAAATGAATCATAGAGTTGGAAGGGGAACTAAGAGGTCATCAAAACCAACCCTCTGCACACTGCAAGATTCCCTACGTCGTCCCTGATAGATGATTATCCAATCATTGTTTAAAAAAACTCAAGCAGGGGAAGAAACAATTTCCTACAGTAACTTATTCTACTGATTAATCACTATTACTGTCGATACAGATAGTCGTCAAATAATGACGAGAATTGGGACCAGAATTTCCGTTGTTAAGCAAGGGGGTTGTTAAAGTGAATTGTGGCCAAATTTATGACCTCCTTGCCACGGTTGTTAACTGAATCACTGCAATTGTTAGGTGAATCAGGTTTCCCCCACTGACTTCACTTGCCAGAAGATGGCTGGGAATGTCTCAAATGGCAATCCCATGACCCAAGGAAATGCTGCAACCATTGTAATTTGGATGCTAGTCGCCAAGCACCCAAATGTTGATTACATGATTCTGGAGATGCTATGAGTATTACATCACTTTTTTTTTTCAGTGCTTTGAACGGCCGCTTAACAAATGGTTGCAAGTTAAGGACTACCTGTAAGTTCGTCCTAATGAACTATGGAAAGCCATTTTGATTTATTGCTTAAGGCGCCGGGTCAGAAATGAGGAGATGGTGAGTCCCAGCACTGCCTCAGGCACAAAGCAGACGAGGGAAGCTTAGGCCAGTCTGTCTGCTCAGCCCTGGGAAGAAGGAAGAGGCAAGGGCAAACCACTTCTGGAATATTACCAAAAAAACTGCAGGGGCTTACCTAAGCAGCCCCATCTGGGCGAAGGCTGACTCAAAGGCAATAACATGGTAGTTGGATGATAGATTATGTATATGTGTGTGTATCTATATCATCTATCTACCATTTTATTGCCTTTGAGATGTGTATTTGTGTGGTAAGTTGGTAGATAGATGATTGATAGATAGATGAGAGATAGATAGATGAGAGAGAGATAGATGAAAGATAGAGAGATGAGAGAGGGAGAGAGAGAAAGAGAGAGAGATGAGAGAGAGAGAGATGAAAGAGAGAGAGATGAAAGAGAGAGAGGAGAGAGAGAGAGAGAGAGAGAGAGAGATGATAGATACGGTACATAGTCTGTATTCACCTCCTTGAATTTTCATCCCACTACAGGTAGTACTCCACTTACAACCATTCATTTAATGACCGTTCGAAGTTACAACAGCACTGAAAAAAGTGACTTATGACTATCTTCCACATTTAACAAATGTTGCAGCATCTCCACAGTCACATGGTCAGAATTCAGCCATTGGGCAACTGGAATGTATTTATGATGTCACGCTTAGCATGACAGAAATGTCGGGCTCAATTCTGGTCATAAGTTGAAGAGCACCTCTAGTTCTACTCTTACCCTTCGGAGCAAGTAAAAATAAGTCCAAGCCCTCCACAGCCCTTCAGCTGTCATGTCCCCTCTCAAATCTTCTCTTCTTGCAAGCTAAACCTACCTAGGTCTTCTAACTATTCCTCACAAGATGCAGTTCCCAGTCCTTGGCAGCCCTTCTCTGGACTTGTTCCAATCTATCAATGTCCTTTTGAAACTGGGTTATATGGCCTGACCAAGGCAGATAGAACAGGATAATTGCCTCCTGCTATCTGGATGCTCTTCAAGAGGCCGTTGTCCTTCTTTTCCTTTTTCTTTTTTTTGCATCCGCCTTAATTGTTCTGGGGAACTCATATAGGGTTGTTTCCTAAATGAGAAATCCCTTTATGATCTTTTCCCTCCGTTAACCTTTCCAGGGAAAAACAAACAAACGAGCCCCCCTCCCTGGCCTGCATCCAGCAGTGCAGCTTCAACCCTCCCTGGATCATAATTGCTCTGGGCTCCCAGACAGGACAGATTCATCACAGCTGGTTTAGCCGCCTGCTGAGAGAGAGAGAGAGAGAAAAGCTGTCACTGAGATTCTGTCATCCCTGTGGCAGCTGCCAATCTCCAAACTAAGAGATGGGCAGACTCTCATCCTTCTGAGGGCTGCTACTCAGGGGTGGGATTCAAATTTTTTAACAACCGGTTCTGTGGGCGTGGCTTAGTTGGTGGGCATGGCTTGGTGGTCATGTTATTGGCTGGGCGTGGCCAACTCAACATCGCTCACATCGAGGCACACATCTCCTCGCCTGGCTTCTCATGACTGTGGGGATGCTGCAACAGTCATAAGTCTGAAAAATGGTCATAAGTCACTTTTTTCAGTGCCATTGTAACTTTGAATGGTCACTCCACACAAGCAAAGTACCAGCAAAGGAGGGGGAAAAAACTCCAGAGAAGTTCCTGAGAAAGGGAAGTCTAGTCCTGCCAAGAATGTAATAAGGGTTAACAGAGAGGCAGTCTCTGTAAGCAACACCAGAATGTTTCCTTCCTGTCTTCCTTACAGGATTAGAACAGTAATTTCTTCTAACAACTGGTTCTCTGAACTGCTTAGAATGTTAACAACCGGTTCTAGTGAGTAGGTGCGAACTGATAGAATCCCACCCCTGCTGCTACTCAGGAAGGAAGTGGGTGCCTCTGGAATGAATGCGCCAAATGCCATCTCAGTGGCAGTGCTTAACCTTTTTGTGGATTCTTTAAGAAGTGGAGCAAAGTTACGATGGACATCAGCTGGTAGCAGTCAGGTGGCTGTGACCTCACCTCCTTTCCTAAAGATTGCCTTTATTCCTATGGAAGAAAATAAGTTTATGCCCCACCAGGAATGAGCTTCAAAAATTTTAGCAAAGGGTTTTCTGACTGGTTGCTGGATGGGCGTGGCCATGATGGGTGTGGCCTAGCAGGCCTCCTACATGACAGCAGGGGCGTGTTTTTTCCCACTCCGGGCTCCGGAGGCTTTCCTCGAGCCTCTGGGAGGGTGAAAACGGCCTTTCTGGGCTCCGGAGGCTCTCTGGAAGCCGGAAGCAGACCCATTTCCGGCCTTCCTGAACTTCCGGGAGGCCAAGTTTTTTGCCTTCCCCGAGCCTCTGCGTGCACCCTGCACTTATCTGCATCCAAAATGGGCCACGTGGGGACTCCTGGGAGGGGAGGGGTGTGGTGGGTCCAGCCAGGAGTGGGATTTGGGGGTTCTCCGAATTGCACAGAATCTTAGCTAGGGGCTCACCCGAACCCCTGCGAACCCCCAGCAGCCCACCCCTGGGTCCCACTCCGTTTTGATGGGACAGGGCTTCCCTTTCACTATATTTTGCAGTGTTTCTCAACCTTGTCAACTTTAAGATGTGTGGTTGGGGAATTCAGGGAGGTGAAGTCCACACATCATAAAATTGCCACGGTTGAGAAACACTGCATTATAGTCACTGCAGCAACTCTCCCCCCCCCCCCTGCCACGCACACACACTTACTGGAAGCTATAATGGTGCCAGAAAACTTGGGCCCTACGCTTCTCTCCCCAATTCCTAGAAGAGACCCAAGTTGCAACAGGTCCTTTCCACGTCTAAAAATCGAATGGCCCAGTTCAGCGGCATGCATTAATAATAGATGGCACAGAACAATAGATTTGTCAGACCTGGCTCTGCCAGAGTGAAAACAAGAAGCGAGGTGCGGGCTTCACCAAGCGCCTTGTCTACTTCAGAAAATGCAGAATTCCCCGCTAAGCTGTTCTGACACAGAGTACAGCCGCCTGATTAACTGTAAGTTCAGGACAGACAAAAAGAAGAATGTCTTCACACAATGAATAATTAAGTCAGAAATATGTGCCTTGAGTGTACAGTGACTGCTTTTTAAGAGATCTGAACAAATTAAGCACAGTGGCTGATTGAGATCTAGGAGGAAGGGAAGGGAAGGGAAGATAGAGGGGGAGAGGAGAGGAGGAGAGGAGAGGGCAGGGTAGGATAGAGATCTGTTCTACAGCTTCCTCCTCTAACTTGGGCTTTTCAGATATGATATACTCTGTTGACTCTAGCGGCTGAGGATTATGGTAATTAGGACCTAGCACAGAAGTACAATGACACCAAGTTGGGGAAGGCTGGTCTGTGGTTTGATTCCACAGGGTTTGAGTTACCTTTTACTAATTGTTCTACCAGGTGCTGGAATTTTGTAATTTTATACCTGTCTGTCTATGTATCTGTGTATAGACCAATATAATAAAAGAGAGTAATAATGACTTCTGGAAGTCTTTAGCAAAATAACACGGTCCCCCAATAAAATAATGCAAAACAGATTTCCATTTACCCATTTAAGCTAATAGAAAAGAGAAGCTATTGCTACAGCTGCACTTACCGTATGAATATGGGATCTTTCCCTCTGTTGTGCCCGAAAGGAATAAAATGGTGCTTACATTGTGAGGCTCAAAATTGTTGGTGTATGGGTGTGTACCTTTGCGCATGCAGTGCACCTATGGAAATTTTTCTGTCCTTGATTAGCTGATTGGCAGGTGACATTCTTGGGATTGGTAAAGAGTTGGGAATTAATGGTCTGAAAGGGTGAGTTTGCAGCTGTGGGAAGGGACAGCAGCGCATATCTTTCCGTGCAGCATTCAAAAAGCTGTAAAGAAGGCCATTTATATGATTTCATTCTATTTGATGGAAACATGATCTGCAGTTAAGTATGCTGGATAGTACAGGTGGTCCTCGGTTTACCAGCACAATTGGAGCTGGGATCGCTTTGTTGCTAAGTGAGGCAGCTGTTAAGTGAGTCCTGCCTGATTTTTACAACCTTTCTTTTTTTACCATCACTGTTAAGCAAAACTCTGCCATTTATAAGTGAATCATGCCGGCATTGAGCAAATCCAGCTTCCTCCATTGACTTTGTTTGTCAGCTGGGAAGGTTGCAGGTGGTGATCACGTGACTCCCGGATGATGCCACTGTCATAGGTGCATGCTGATTGCCAGACACTCGACCAGGTGACTCTGGGGATGCTGCGGTGGTCATCAGTGCAAGGACTGGTTGCAACTCATTCTTTTTAGTGCCGCCATCACTTTGAACAGTCGATAAATGAATGGTTATAAGTTGAAAACAAGCTGAATGTTGGATAGTAATGAGTGCAGACAAAAGTACAATTGTGTGCCTATGTAAACATATACATTTGACGAAAGAATGTTGTGTTTCCTGCCATCGGCACTGTTCATATCTAGTCTTGTCTCCGTAGCAGTGTCCTCTGGTCACATCTGATTCCACTTTTTCCCTTTTCCAGCGCCAGGACGCTCGCATTATTGTTGGGCTGTTTTACGAGACTGAGGCCCGGAAGGTTTTCTGTGAGGTGGGTACACACGGAGTCCTCGGAGCGGACCAGAGAATGCAGATAGAATATTTTCCTAGTTCCATTCTGATTCTGATTCTGGAAAATTAGCATTAAGCGGGTAGGAGGATGGCACTGATTTGATGAACTGTTCCATGCCTCGTGCTCTGGGGTTGCTGTGTAGGTGCTCGGCTTTGTTACTTTCCAGTGCTGAATGCAAAGCCAATCTCGCCATGCTTTTTTTTGGCCTACTTGTATGGATTCAGTGGGACCCTTTCTGTGCTGGGGTGGTGTGATCTCCTTCTCCTCGGGAAATGTGGCTTCCTCTGTTTGCGAGTTAACCTTGTTTTATTCCCTCCTTTGTGAATGGTGGCAGGTATATAAGGAGCGTTTGTTTGGAAAAAAATATGTCTGGTTCCTGATTGGCTGGTATGCTGACAACTGGTTCCGCATCAAGGACGCAAACATTAATTGCACAGAGGAAGAGATGAGGGAGGCGGTGGAGGGACACATCACCACGGAGATCGTCATGCTGAACCCAGAAAACACCCGCAGCATCTCTAATATGGTGAGAAAGAGCCGCAACAGGCAAGGAACGCGGCCATTTCTTGCTAAAATGAAAACCCAGTTAATCCGTGGTGGCCAAAGGCTGACAGCATTTTTTCAGGCGAATACGTTTGATTGAAAGACATGAGCACCTGGTCTTCCCCTTTCTTCTCCCCTGACCTCATTTTTAATTTAAATTTTGCATCGATTTTCTCACCCTGTGCAATTTGATGAAGTGAGCTGTAAAATTCAAAAAGCTTTGGCCTGCCAAACTCCTCCTGATTTTTAAAATAGACTTGAAAATTTATCTAGGAGTTACATTCCTTAGTCTGGACTTATTTACTCTCCAAATGAATTTTGATAGCCAATAGCACGTTAATTACACGTAAAATAATTATATATTTTCTTTTATTACAGAGCTCTAGTCAAAATTATATATGTTGGCAGGAGATTTTTTTGTAGTATTTCAGCTAAGCAAAACTATTGTTTCACAAAGATGCTCCCTAGTTTTATTACAAAGAAAACAAGATTATTTCGTGAAAGTTTCCTTCCCATTTAAAAAGAGCTGATTCACTGTATAAAGTAATATTTCTAATTCAATTAAATTTTTTGGGGGGATAGCTGAATGGTTATTGATTTCTCTAATAAGATTAATTCTCCTTTTTGGAAAACCTTACATTCTTTTGCATTCAATTATGAAACAAACTACAATAAATCTTTGAGTCAATATTATTCCCAAACTTTTTTACAGCAAGATTTCTGTTTTTAATCAGTTTGTAAACCATTTAATAATACTAAAAAATAATCTCAAAGCGGTGTACGATGAATAAAATAACATTGAAAATACAAAATATAATAAAAATAATATTCTAGAACTAAATCACGCAGACAATTTTAAAGAGATCTAAATGGAACAGTGCATTCAGGCAGAAAAGCCTGGGTAAAGGCAAATTTTTAAAAATATCCACACCACAAAGTAGTTATATTAGCCAATAATGATACTTTACTGCTTTGCAAATTTAAAATATTTTACATATTTAAGTAAAAGTATTAAATCCTGCTTATTTATAAACGTTGCATTTCACTTTTTGCTATTTCTTTCTTTCTTTATTAAAACAATCCCAATAATGATCAATTTCTGCAACAAGGAAGAATGTTGTTTTTCTTGGTTCCCCTCCAGACATCAGAGGAATTCATTGAGAAACTGACAAAGCGAGTAGAGAAATCTCCAGAGGAGACTGGGGGTTTCCAGGAAGCTCCATTGGCTTATGATGCCATCTGGGCCCTGGCCCTTGCATTGAACAAGACCTCAGCTGAATTGGTAAAGAAAGGGTTACGCCTTGAAGACTTCAATTACAACAACCAGACTATTACAGACGAGATCTACAGAGCCCTCAACTCTTCAGCCTTTGAAGGGGTCTCGGTGAGTGATCCCTTGAAATTGATCTCCTGAAGCCAGAGAATCTGGTGTGCAGAGCATTCAGGATCTGTCCGTAGGCAAGTCTGTCGGAATTCGGGATCATCAAGCAGGATTATTTTGAGTCAGATCAAAAATCCTGCATTCTCCTTCCAAGCCTATTTGAATTTTTAGAGCCCTTTGATTTTGTGGGGTAGTAGTAAACAGGGTATGCCAAGAAACCCTGATGGCAAGAAAAAAGAAATGTATAAAGAAGTATTAGTATGTGTTGGTGGCACAGGGGCCTAGTGGTTAAGGCGTTGAACTTGTTGACTGGAAGATTGGCAACTTGAGACCTAAATACCTTGTACTGGAGTGAGCTCCCATTCTTGTCCCAGTTCCTCCAACCTTGCAGTTGGAAAGTATGGAAAATGCAAGTAGATAAATAAGTACCAGTTCAGTGGGAGGATAACGGTGTTCCCGCGCCTTGGCGTATAGTGATGCCGGCCACATGTCTACAGAAGCGTCTTCAGGCAACCCTGGTTTCCTTGGCTAAGAAACGGAGATGAGCACTGCCCCCTAGAGTCAGATACAAATGATCGGGGGAAACCTTTATCTTTTATTAGTACAGGACATATAATAAGGAAAAGGTCATGGAAGACAGTAGCTCAAGGATAGGCGTCCCACTCAGTTAAGGAACAAAATCTACTTTTTCCATGACCTTTCACTGAGGTTATATGTACACTTTCAGGTACAATATTTCTTCACAATTATGACTTAGTCCTTGAACTGCTTGTCCCATATTTTTGAAAACTGAGATTCTCGGAAACTTTGCTCTGGAAGTCAGACACAAGACGGAAATATTTCTCGAATGGGACTGTACAGTCTACAGACAAGCTGACTCAGCTTCTTAAGTTCTCATCCTTCTGTGACACTGGCCACTTTTCTCCTCTGAAACTCTTTCTCACCAGAGAGAAACAATCATTCTTTCTCTTACTGTTGGGAATATGGGGCTCTTCCCCAAGTCGCATTGGCAAGAGATCCAAACAGCGGTGGGATTCAACTGGTGTTACTACTGGTTCGGTGACTACATTTTGCGCACGCATGCGCGCTATGCATGCCAAACATGCGCTGTGCACGCGTGTAAACAAACCTTAGGCTGTGCCTCCTGGACAGCTGAAAAGCAGGGGTGGGATTCTACCAGTTCACACCTATTCACTAGAACCGGTTGTTAACATTCTAAGCAGTTCGGAGAACCGGTTGTTAGAAGAAATTACTGGCCTAATCCTGTAAGGAAGGCAGGAAGGAAACATTCTGGTGTTGCTTACAGAAACTGCCTCTCCATTAACCTTTATTACATTCTTGGCAGGACTAGACTTCCTGTCTCCGGAACTTCTCTGGAGTTTTTTCCCCCTCCTTTGCTGGTACTTTGCTTGTGTGGAGTGACCATTCAAAGTTACAATGGCACTGAAAAAAGTGACTTATGGCCATTTTTCACACTTACGACTGTTGCAGCATCCCCACAGTCATGAGAGGCCAGGCAAGGAGATGCGTGCCTCGATGTGAGTGATATTGAGCTGGCCACACCCAGCCAATAACATGACCACCAAGCCATGTCCACCCAGTCACATGACCACCAAGACACACCCACGACCTAAGCCACGCCCACAGAACCAATTGTTTAAAAAGTTGAATCCCACCCCTGGTGAAAAGCGTTTGAAAAGCCATTTTTTCCCTGCTTTTTCAACCTCAGCTGTGCCGCGCAAAGCAGCTGCGGTTGAAAAAGCAGGAAATAAAGGACAGATAAGAGCCTGGGCGGGTGGGTGAGCCAAACAGCAGCAAACACAGAACCATGTGCAAACACAGTTCCGTGTCTGCTGCTCTTCAGAGCGACCAGTTCTATAGAGCTGGGTAGAACCGATAGCATCCCACCCCTGGATCCAAACCAGGTTGCCACCATGAGGACCTTCTCTTAGTATGATTTCCTTCACTCCCCCAGGGACATGTGGTCTTTGATGCCAGTGGCTCTCGGATGGCCTGGACCCTCATTGAGCAGCTTCAGGGTGAGTAGAGTTCCCAGGATGCTCCACACTATGGGTTTTCCCATTGATTGCAACATCAAGCTGACTCCCATGAAACAGCAGCCAAAACATCACACTCGCATCATTTCTGTCCTTTCATCCTCTTTTTTTTCCCCCCAATGCAACACAGATGTGTTGAAATTTCCATTTTGGATTTTTTTTTTACAGGTAGTCCTCAACTTATAACAGTTTGTTTAGTGACCATTTGAAGTTACAGCACTGCTGAAAAAAAGTGACTTATAAACTGTCTTTCACACTTATGGCCATTGCTGCATCCCCAGGGGTCACATTATCAAAATTTAGATGCTTGGCAACCGGTTCATACTTACGACGGTTGCTGTGTCTCGGGGTGGTGGTGATGTAATCACCTTTTGCAACCTTGTGACAAGCAAAGTCAATGGGGAAGCCAGATTCACTTAACAACGGTGTTACAAACTTAATAACTGCAGTGATTTCCCTTAACAACGGTGGCAAGAAAGGTCATAAAATGGGGCAAAACTCACTTGACAAATGTCTCACTTAGCAACATCAACATTGGGCTCAATTGTGGTTCTAAGCTGAGGATTACCTGTGTTGTGTGGCAATCATGCAGTGTTAACAGTTACAGGAGTGGTTTTGATTGGCGGGATTCATTTTGCTCCTCCTCCCCATGCACCCCGCCTTTCTTCTCTATTAATTTAGGGGTGCGCCGATAACCCCACAGTGTAACTTATATCACCGGGGGTTTACCTTTCCCCTTTATTCGGAGTGATGTGGAAATCTTTTTTTTTTCCTCTGTGTTCTTCATTCCTGCATGGTTGCACAACTCTATGGGAATCCTGCCCTTTAAATAAATAAACACATTACACACACACACCTGAAATGGACTTCTGCTGCAGGACAGCTGTACATCCTGTTTAAAAGATTTTTTTGATGAAATGGTAAAGTCAGGTGTGTCAGCACCTTGCAGGAAATTATTTCCCTCCTGGATATTGAGGGGAACAAAAGATGACAATTATGTTCCCATCATTACAGTTTTTTGAGATTATAGCTCCTAGAAATATACTGCTGACAAGATGCTCTAAATTGAATGATTGCATTTAACAATACCATAGGTTGTGAATCACACTACCGTGCTTGGGAGCAGTGCCATTTCTTGCCCATATTACACAAAGCTGTATAATATCCCACCGAGGGCATGGAATTGTTCAACATTACAAGGATCAGCTCCACACAATAAACACTGTGTAATTATGTAGAAATGTTCATTTCTGCGTAATTATATAGGACTTATTTTACCATGTTTCCTTTTATAAAAAGGCAATCAGGTGTTGCTAGGCTATTATTGTTTTTTTTAAAGAAGATTCAATTCCAGCATTCTGACAATTTAAAAACTGATCCAATAGTCTATCTTTCCATAAATCCATTACTTGATTCTTCCATTGTCTAGAATTCTTCTCTCTGCCAACAGATGGTGTCTATAAGAAGATTGGCTATTATGACAGCACCAAGGATAACCTCTCCTGGTATAACAATGACAAGTGGATTGGTAAGAGTCTGAAAAATGTTCATTATAAATAGGAGTGTGCAAACTGTTTTGAGCTCAAAATGTTTTAAGTGTTCTGAGCTTAAAATAAAATAATATTGCTTTGTTCCAAACTCCAAATAAAACTTAATCATACAACCAAATTACCAAGCCTGGAGCTCAAACCAACAGCCTAAAACATAATGATTCTGAGCAATGGCATTTTGAGTATTTGGGTTATAAATAAATACTAAAATAGTGCTTCAAACTGAAGCTGGTGATTTCAAGTGTTCCAAGATCAAAACAAAGTTGTACATTCCAGCAGTTTTATTCTGAGTCCAGGAATTGAGACAAAATCCAGAAGTTGTTCTAAATTTTGTCCTGCTGCAACATAGCCAAACGATCATTTCAACAGAACATCCCAAGTAAGTCAGTATAAGACATTTTCTTATATGGTGAGAAAAATAAGAAATTAAAAAACTGATGCAAGTCATTGTTTTCCAATTTATCTGAGAATATGAAATTCTAGAGATTTTAACTAGTGAACCAGAATCTGTTAGTGAAATTGTAGGGTGATGAAATTAACAGGCAAACAGATATGAATGAACTCCCAGTGCATATTTGGACTAAATATGGGATTTAGATTTGAAAAGATGAAATCTAGCAGTCTAGTGATTTCCTTGAGGCCTAAAAATGTTCTCATCTCAGGTTTAGACATCCTGGGAGTATCTATACTGACTTGTAGTAGTTAACGATTCATTTCAAGAACAATTAAGAAAAAGAGTATATTCTTTACAGTGATGGACAAAGGACCAACACTATAAATGGTAGGAATGGGATCAGATGAATGAGAAATTTTAAGAGCTTTCCACTTCCTTGTAGGCATGTGGGTTAATTTTTATATGATGAAGTTAGCAAATACCATTTTTAAGTGATTGTTGAGTGAATTTTATAATTCAGCATTCTATGTCTGCCGAGAGATGCATCTTGGGAAAAGCTTCGTGCATGGGTTGAGTCAGGAGGAACTGCTTAGCCTCAGGCAATGCACCTTTCAAGCTACTCAGGTTACCAAATGGAGACATCCCCGCCACACACGTGCTTAGTCTTTGTGGATCTTCCTGGTGAAAAAGACTCTGATGCGAATAGGCTCTTGAATTCCTTTCTCCTTCCCATATCTCTCATTGCAGGTGGTGTCCCACCAGCAGATTATACTAAGGTCATCATCACCTTCCGGTACCTTTCCCAGAAGCTCTTTATTTCTGTTTCGGTGCTCTCAAGTTTGGGTATCCTGTTGGCCATCATTTGCTTGGCCTTCAACATCTACAATGGGCATGTCAGGTGGGTGATACTTTTATTTATTTATTAAATTTAGATGCCACTCATCTCACTGACAAGATGTTCTACTTAATACATTCAGCTTCTTTTGCTTAAATGAAAATATTGTCGAAGACATACTTTGCATTCAAAGTCCCCAAAGTTCATATATCCAGAACAACATCTGGATTCTGAAACACTGAAGGAACCAGTGTCCATCAGCACAGATCAAGTGTGAGGAAACTGCAGCAGTCTAGATATTGTCACATTTTAATACTTATCAGTTCCCCAATCTAATGACTTCCAGTTATGTTAGGATTTCAACTCCCAGAATCCCCTGCCAGCACAGCACAACTTGAGTATTTGAACAACCAAAAGGTACCATGTTAGAGACAACCAAGACAGGGAATATCAAGTCGGAGTAAGGTGGCTTCTTAGATACCTTTCTCGTATAGTACTAGCACTTAGACTTATATACCACGCTTTTCAACCCTCTCTAAGTGGTTTACAGAGTCAGCGTATTGCCCCCAACAATCTGACAATCATTTTACCCAGTGAGATTGGATCTGCCAAATTGCAGGCAGCCGGTAGTCAGCAGAAGTAGCCTGCAGTACTGCACTCTAACCACTGCGCCACCCTGGCTCATATGGTACTGAAGGGCATATTCACCCAAAACAATCAAAAAGATTGAGTTATTTGTTTATTTCATTTAAACTGAGGCTCTTTCAAGATGCAATTCAATTATTCAAAAACATAAATTAGAATTTTTTTAAAAAAAAGTCAAATTGAATCAACAATTGAGTTTGATTGTTTTTAAAACTGGCTACTCAAAACGGATTTTGCCTAGTTCATTCAGCTGAAATACTTTATTTTGATCTTATAGTAATTTAGAAGCAGAGCTGGTGGCTCAAACCCTTTGTATACCAGATTCTGCTTGGAACTTGACCAGCGTCCTTCTTTTTTTACAGATACATCCAGAACTCTCAGCCATATCTCAACAATATGACAGCTGTGGGCTGTGCACTGGCCCAGGCAGCTGTCTTCCCACTTGGGTTGGATGGCCTTCACATCAGCAAAGACCTCTTCCCTTTCGTTTGCCAGGTATATCATGGCTGCTGGAAAGCTTTAGAGAACATCCTGGTAGTTTAATAGCTAAACAAAGAATAGCAAACCTGAGGCTCCCCATATGCCACTGAGCTACATTTCCCAGCAAACTTAACCAACTTATTTAACGGTAAATGATGCTAGGAGCTACAATCCTGTAGTTTCTGGAGAACCACAGTTACCAGCCCTGGGTTATATTCAAACTCAAATCCAATTTCTGAATTTTTCTTCAGTGAAGTCCCCTTCACTTCTAATTCCATTTCAGAACTGAGAGTTTCCATGCAAATTTATTTATTTATTTATTTGATTTGTCAATTGTTTACAAGATAATAAGTATAAGTATATACATAGTTATGAATACATGAAATGGGTACATATAAGAAAAATAAAAGAAACAATAGGACAGGGACAGTAGGCACGTTGGTGCGCTTATGCACACCCCCTAAAGACCTCTTAGGAAAGGGGTGAGGTCAATAGTAGACAGCCTAAGGTTAAAGTTTTTGGGGTTTGGAGAAGAAACCACAGAGTCAGGTAGAGTATTCAAGACATTGACCACTCTGTTGCTGAAGTCGTATTTCCTGCAATCAAGTTTGGTGAGGTTAACCTTGAGTTTGTATCTATTGTGTGCTCTTGTGTTGTTATGGTTGAAGCTGAAGTATTCATTGACAGGTAGGACATTGCAATGTATGATTTTATATACCATACTTAGATCAGACTGAAGATGGCCTAATTCAAGGTTTTCTAGTTCTAGAATTTCAAGTCTGGTGGCATAAGGTATTCTACAACGAGTAGAGGAGAGGAGAACTCTTCTTGTGAAATATTTCTGGACTTTCTCAACTGTGCTAATATCAGATAGGTAATGTGGGTTCCAGACTGATGAGCTGTATTCAAGTATTGGTCTAGCAAATGTTTTGTATGCTCTAGTTAGTAGTGTGATATTACCAGAGAAAAAGCTACGTAGGATTAGGTTAACAACTCTTAATGCCTTTTTGGCTATGTAGTTACAGTGGGCTCTAGTACTTAGATCATTAGAGATGAGTATTCCAAGGTCCTTTACAGAGCTTGGATCATCAACAAGATCTTGACTATTAAGCTTGTATTTTATTTTCTGATTTTTTTTTTTGCCAATATGTAAGACAGAGCATTTGTTGAGATTTCAAGTTGCCATTTGTTTGACCATTCTGATACATAGTCAAGATCTTTTTGAAGGGTAGCAGTATTGTCTGTGGTATTGAACAGCTTTACATCATCAGCAAAAAGAATGCAGTTGCTCTTAATATGATCACAGAGGTCATTTATGTAGAGTATGAAGAGAGTTGGTCCTAGAACACTGCCTTGGGGGACACCACTGTTGACAGGTACAGAATTGGATAGGACACACCCAATTTTGACCATTTGTTGTCTGTTTGACAGGAATGCTTCTGTCCAGTTATGCAGTTGACCAGAGATACCATAAGATTTTAGTTTTAGGAGTAGTTTGTCGTGTACTACTGAATCAAAGGCTTTACAGAAGTCTATGTAGATTGCATCTATTGTTTTGCCCTGATCGAGTTGTGTAGTCCGTATGTTTTTACAGTGTAAGAGTTACAGATTACAGGATAATTTTTGACTTTGCTTGTCAGGTCTCAAAATGTGACCACATGACCCCAGGACATTGCTACCGTCATAAATATGAGTCAGTTGCCAAGCATCTAAATTTTGGTCATGTGACCATGGGGATTCTGCAATGGTTTGAAGTGTGAAAAACCGTCATAAACCGCTTTTTTCAGTGCTGTTGTAACTTCGAAAGTTAAAATGTTGTAAATCTATGGTGTTAGAAAATGCATCAACACTCTGTGCAATAGATATCTCTTGGGAAAGTCCCAGATTCTCTTGGTTGATTAAGAGCTTTGGAGAAAGCTACTGCTTTCTTCTTATTATTTTCCCCACTCTACTTCCAGGCACGGCTTTGGCTCCTGGGTTTGGGTTTCAGCCTTGGCTATGGCAGCATGTTTACCAAAATCTGGTGGGTGCACACCGTCTTCACCAAGAAGGAAGAGAAGAAAGAACGACGGAAGGTATGTATTTTGTCTTCTTGCCATTCTGTGCTGAGTCATTCAAATGAAGCAAGTAATATAGACAAAGGATTTGGATATACTGTATACCATATATTTCTTTGGAATGCTGTTATTCTTAGAAACAATTCAGAATTGGCTTGGGGCCACACCAAGACAGAACTGGCCTACATTTGCTCAAACGTTACAAGGGTGTTCATCATTTTCTATTCCGCAGGAATTTAATCCTGAAATCATACCACGCCCTTTGTTCCACTAAAATAATTGTTGATAGTGGTTAGCGTTCCCAGATACTTTACCTTTTATATCTGGTGGGTGTGTCTTTAGGTGAAAGGATTTGATACGTAAGTTGATAAATCTTAGCAAAGCCCAGGGCTAGGAGTGTATTTACATCTGAGTTTTGCTACGATTTGCAGATTTGGAGGGGAGCACATTCTCAGGGTGGGAGGGCTAGTAAATTTGATCTTGTAACCATACTTCAGAAAAGGCATAATAAAATTCTCAGAGTTCCTTTTCCATGGATACCATGCTTTCTCTCTCTGCGTGTGTGTGTCCTTAGCCTCTTGTTTAAACACTGCTGAACTTTGCTGTTTTGATTTATTGCTTTACGGTGTTGTGTTTTTACATTTAGGTTGATAAATTTCCCAAGGAACTGTCACTGCAGGAACAGAACTTAAATTCATAGGCACATTGAGGAGGCTGCCTTATATTAAATCAAACCATTGAACCATGCAGCCTGGTATTGTTGTGGCTGGGACCAGTTTCTCCAGTCCTCTCTGGATCCAAAACAGGAATTTAAGGGGAAACTGTATTTGCACACAACTTGTTTCTCAGAACAACTTTGTGTTATCTTAGTTCTTACCTTAAGCCCAATTTTTCTACTAAACTTTTGGCACAAGGTCTTGGATTTCCCACACTTTCACAACTTTCCTCAGCCTGACGCCTTCCAAGTAATATTCACTTCAGTTCCCAGGTTTATGAGAGCCAAACACATAAAATGGCACCAGCTTGGGGGAAACTGTTGCTTCCATAATAAAAAAAATGAAGCATGTGAAATAAATGTGTATTGTTTTCATAGTACCCAATAAAACACAATAAAAGAAATTGGGTAAACAATAATTATTGTAATCGACTAGATGGATCCATGGTCTGAAAACTCAGGTCAGCTTGAATCTGTGGCCTCCGGGATCCGTGAAATTTCATGTGTTCTATTCCGTCCCTTTGAGTGGGTCCAGCCCCCAGTTCTCTCTCTCCTCTTTTCCCACAGACTTTGGAACCCTGGAAACTCTATGCCACTGTTGGATTGCTTGTCGGGCTTGATTTTGTCATCTTGGCTATCTGGCAAATAGTTAACCCACTGAAACGCACAACGGAGGTAACTTCTTAAGCTGGCATCATTTCAAAAAGGAGCTATAGGTTCAAGGATTCCAGTAGACAGGGCCAGATTGTTGAAACAGCTGTTGGTACCATTAGTACCAAGATAGGTGAAACAGCAGTTTTAAAAAATTCCATGGAGCGTACAAGACTGCCTTTCTATTATTAGCCCACAAAGTTTTAGTGAATCAAACTAAAATTATGTTAGCGTGAACCAGAAGGCCTGTCTTTTCAGCAGTGAAATGTTGCTTATCGAACATGCTTACCTATTCTTATATTAAAAGCATATTCAAAAGAAGATTCTGCATTCCTATTAGATCAGTGAGGAGAGCCTTGTGGTTTCCCAGTTATTGTTATTTGTAATATCCCACATCACTGGCCCTGCAGGCTGGAGGTCCTTTAGGTGTCATTCTGGAACCACAGAGAGAGACTACTAGCCTCGTTTTACTGGAAATGGTTCTCATTCCACTGACGAGTGGTTTGGTTTGGGTTTTTCTTTTTTTTTACAGAAAAGCCAACAGTTGCAATCAAGCTTAACAACACTAAATTTGGAGCCAGGAAATTGAGAATTGTTTTATCGCTGCCTGAGGCATGGAATAAAGTGAGTGACTTAGGTCAGTCACTTTTTTCCCCACCTTAGGAAGAAGGCAGGCAGGGACGAATCTCCTCTGAAAGTTTTGGCAAGGAAACTGCATAGATTTGTCCATGTAGGCACCACGAGTCAGGGATGGCTTGGTGGACCATAACTAAAGCAAGTCGTCCCAGTGTATTGTAGAAAAGTCTGCGTCTGTTGGATGCCTATCTCACTATTTCTCCTCTATGACCATCTGTGCTGGCTGCATTCACGTGATATGTTTGCCTTAATCACGGTTTAACCAATTCTCTCCATTTTTGGAATTGGTACAGCAATACTGGCCCAGCCAACAGAGACATTTTTAAGCAGAGGTCAATTCTGTAAACTCACCTTTATTGACTCTCAACCTCTGAGTCTTGAGTTTTACAAGCTCCCGCTAATTACCGGCCTGTATATCTGCAGTCCTAGAGATCATGTAAGAGAACACGCGGTTGATCCTTCCCTTGGGCTCAGCCTCGTCCTCTCCAACATCTCACCTCTTTGGTATGTCCTTGAAGTTTCTTCTCCTCTTCCATTATCTCAACCTGTGGAGAAGATTGTTTTTCTTCCTGGTTGCTTTCCTTTCCATTCTTGGCAATTGGTTCATATCTTGGTTGAATTGTGATTCCCAGGGTGAGTTGGACTATACAGAGTGTCTTCGACTTACACCCACAATTGAGCCCAACATTTATGTTGCCAAGTGAGACATTAGTTAAGTGAGGTTTTTTTTGCCCCATTTTACACCTCTCCTTGCCACAAGTGTTAAGTGATTCACTGCAGTTGTTAAATTAGTAGCACAGTTGTTATGTGAATCTGGCTTTCCCCATTGATTTGCTTGTCAAAAGGTCACAAAAAGGGATCATATGACCCCAGGATACTGCAACCATCATAAATATGAACCAGTTGCCAAGTAGTCTGAATGTAAATCACATGAGTGGCCATAAGTCACTATTTCAGTGTTGTTGTAACTTCAAATGTTTACTAAGCAAACTGTTCTAAGTGGAGTTATATGTAAAGACCCATCCCAGGATCCTTTCCTTCTTTGACTGAATGTTGCTTATGGTTCTGGGATGGGGCTAAAACTTTAGTGTTCCTTCCCCCCTGACCTAATAGTATATCACAAGGGAAGAGGTGCAAATGACAAAATAATCGTTGTGAAATATGGATACATGCAAGCTCTGTTCTTGTACTTTCGAGATATTGCATGCAGATAAGAGACAGGTGTTTGCAATATGATACAACACCCATTTCCTCATGTTGATGAAACCATCCACTTTTGCAGGTGCCTCTGCATTACACTGTAGGGAGCCTGGGTGCTATATAGAGCAAGCCATACATTTCTTTCTGTCAAACCAACTTATTAGAAAATCTCCTTTTTCCAAACTGTACATGACAGCTATTGCCCTGCAATTTTGACCTTGAAGCTATCCTCGTTACCTATAAAGCAAGAGGTGTAAAGTCACGGCAATTTAAAGTATAAAAAGGTGTGCATGAGAGAGGAAATGCTGCTAACTTTCTTACCAAATTTTACTTAAGATTATTTTTCAGCTGGGCTTTTGTTATCAGTTAAGAAAAGAAACTTGAAAGCAAATGGCCACAAGACAAAAAGTTGTCCATATGTCCCTTTTGCATGTTAAATGCACCACTAGGAGGCCTTGTATCACTGTGGTTAGAGTGCAGTATTGCAGGCAAACTCTGCCCACAACCTGGAGTTCGATCTTAGCGGGGCTCAAGGTTGCTTCAGCCTTCCATCCTTCCGAGGTTGGTAAAATGAGAATACAGATTGCTGGGAGCAATATGCAAATAGCACAGAGTACAGAGAAGAGCAACTAGGATGATGAGGGGACTGGAGGCTAAAACATACAATGAACGGTTGCAGGAACTGGGCATGGTTAGTCTAGTGAAGTGAAGGACCAGGGGAGACATGATAGAGGTCTTCCAATATTTGAGGGGCTGCCACAGGGAGGAAGGGGCCAAGCTATTTTCTAAAGCTCCTGTAGGCCAGACGAGGAATAATGGATGGAAACTGGACAAGGAGAGACTCAACCTGGAAATAAGGAGAAACTTTCTGACAGTGAGAACAATCAACCAATGGAACAGCTTTGCCTTCAGAAGTTGTGGGAGCGCCATCAGTTGAGACTTTCAAGAAGAGATTGGACTCCCATCTGTCAGAAATGGTGTAGGGTTTCCTGCTTGGGCGGGGGGTTGGACTAGATGACCCACAAGGTGCCTTCCAACTCTGATTATCTGTATCAGCATTTACTGTAGGAGATGACCAGGCTGAGCCCAAGGGAGGGGTCAAATGCTTCATCAGTCTTGAGTCTCTTCGCACCCACAAGAAACCTAAGTCCAACCCACCTCGAATCCATTGACTCTTACCTATCACCTCTTTGTTTTGACTGCCAGTAGTAAATATTCTTATAGAGAGCTTAAGCATGCACTAAACTTCTATATTCATCTGAAGTGCCTGGTTTCTTGATTTTCCATGCTTGATACTTAAAGTATTATGGGGCAGTATGTAAGCCAAAATGCTATTGCTATGGTTAAATTAAAGAGTTTCATCCTCTTCCACACCTTTCTTTAGTTAAGAGAGTATTAGGATTGAACTGGGAAGTCCTGGTGCTCTCTAAGCTTGGTTGTTTTCTTGCAGATGTTTTATTACCCAGCTAGGTAACGTCATCAGTGCTAGCAGGGAGTGGGGTTTGTTCTTTACTTTACTTTATTGTCATTGCACCTTGTACAATGAAATCAAACACCATCTTCAGTGCACATGGTGTACTTCATGGTGTACCATGAAAATAAACACAAACACATCCTTCACACTCCACACATTGAACCGAAAACCCGCCAAACCACATCAACACTACACTATGCAGTAAAATTCAAAAGAGCTACTGCCCTGGGATAGAAGGTGTCTTTCCTTTGTCCTTGTTTTTATTATCCTGTGTCGTCTGCCAGATGGTAATAGTTCAAAAAAAGGGTTCCCAGGATGAGATGGATCTTTGAGAATGTTTGAGCTTTCTTAAGGCAGCGGGAGCTATAAAGCTCTTCCAAAGAGGGGAGAGGTCAACCAATGATCCTCTGGGCAATGATGTTAATCTCTTGGAGTGCTTTCCTTTCTGCCACTGTGCAATTGGCAATTCTCTTTTCATATGCAGTAGCTTGTCTTGCCAGAGTTGCTCAAGGGGGTGATTTTTTTTCTCCTTGGTGGTTTCTTGATTAGGGTATTCCTTTATATATGCTTGTTTATATCCTTCTTTATAGTCTATGTGGTTGAGACAAATATA